GATACATATCGGGATGATTCCACTGCGTTGACTGAACACATAACGAGTGGTATTTATGTTGTCACTGACCCGGGCACATCACTATTGATTCTCATCTTTATTATGTATTCATCCAAAGATAAAAATGTCTATGAGATCAGGAAATCATTTCAAATAGTTTCATCCCAGTTAAAAACAAGTGCATTGCAATTTATTTAAGAGTTTTTGAATATTGTGTTTAAGAGCTCAGTCATTACTGTTTATTTTCACTGTTGGTTTATCAGCCCTCTTAGATGCTCCGTAATCCCCCTTTAAATGGAACAGCCGTAGTCGGTGCTATATGCTATCATTTCTTTGATCTTTCTTAATAACTCAAGTGGCCTTACACTGCAATGCAGTAAATTGCTGTAATACACCACAAGAGACTTGTCAATTAAAAATGAAGTGCATGCTTTTGCTGAGCAACACTTTATAAAGAAAACAGTGGCAGGAAGCTTTTAAGAGCAGCAATTCATTGAGTCACCACTCCGGGGATTCATTTATCTTCTTTTTTTAGGTTAAGAACAAGTTAACACCAGACATCAAATACTACAAACTCCGAATATCCTCCACTTCACCTCTGCAATATGGAGTTTTACACATTCCCTCTGAAGCCCTGCTGCTGGTTTGAAGTGCTGACACCTGAAGTAGGCTGACGTGTCCTCCTTATCGGGGACACACAGGCAGCTTCCTCACACAGAAGACCGGACCACAGCTGCCTCTTTTAACCTGTCTCCTCATACTGGTGCCAAGGAGTTTTCATATGCCTCACAGTAATTCAAAATGAATTAGTCCTTGCAGTGTAATACACAGACTGTATTGGTTTTGTGAGTTGCAGTGACAGGAGAGGATTGTGAGATTAGGGGAAACAGACTATCCGCAACCCGCATTAGGTTCATAACAAGAATGTTGACAGCACATTTCCCTCCGAAATTTGACACAGAGAGGTTTGTTAGGAGTCATTATGATGCAAACTAACTGCAAGAAACAATCAAAAAATGTAATGGCTTTAGGATGAGGGATGTTGGCATCTTTAAGCCATGAGTGCTGGAAAACCAGAGAGAACGAGCAGTGATGGCGTCCTTTAGATGCTACTGGAGCTTTGAACAATGGCTTGGCAAGTGCCTAGTGAGGGGACAAACCCACCACCACCACCTACTGCTGCTATATAGCTGGTGGTTATTTCCAACCCTGTTAATGATAGAAGAGGAAGTATTCTGATCTCAATTCAGCAGCCGCAGATCTGCATAATGAATCTTTTCGAGGATACATATTCTGTTCCTTTAGGTTCAACCACAACTTACTGTTGTTTCTTGGACTGTATTATATTTAATAATGTGAAACCTGATGGCTCATAAATATAAAAATACACTGGGAATGCATCATTTTAAAGACATGTTTTCTCTACAGTTGCAAATCATATTTTAAGGGGATATTCAGGGCCATTGTTAGTGCTGTTTATGTAATTTAGCACTGGCCATATGAAAAACTTGTTTAGGATGCCAAGAAGGTCATTGTTAAAGCCAACATGTGTCAAACAGGATTCACTTTTGATGTAACTACTAGATGGTTGTTGCACACAATGCAGAACAAATATTCAAAGAAGCATCACAGGGATGTGATCTATCATGCCCTAAATCATTAAACCAGATCTTTCTGGTACTCAAACCAACACTAATTGATTTTTATAAATACTAACTTGACCAAAGTCAGTTTTCAGCACAGTTGTTGCAAAAGCATTATAGATTATTTTGGAAAAGGTTATTTCCAAATAATACTTTTCCCTCAGTTTATAAAGATATGCATTATTCAAAGTGGTTCCTCTGAATTCTAACAAAGATGAAACAGATTAAAATATATCTGTTATCTCTATAATGTGATGTTTGCTCATAGGCATTAATGACCGTGTTGTTGTTGTCAGAAGCATTCACCGCCTGAGTGCTCTGAGCACATTCACACATGGCAGCACACTGCCATCCTCTGGCTCTTTGGAAGCACATGCAAACAGCCAGAGACCAAGAACAATCACTCAAGCTGTTCAATGAAGAAACACTGCAAGTACAGTAACAGAGGGGTTTCATATGATGTACTTTAAAATCTACTGAGTTAGACTCAAGGCATACATTTTTCTTAATTAGGTTATTTTAACAAAAAAGTTATGGTTAAAGATATTAAGTTAATGTTCTTAAAACAAGAGCACACAGAGAACTGTTTTTGGGAGTTGTGTTTAGCAATATTTTAAATACATTTTAGTTGTTCAACAATTGTGTACAGTTCAACCCATTCAGGTAATCTTAAAGGTCCCATGTCATGCTTTTCCGGTTATTACCCATCCCCTTGTGTGTTATGAAGGTTTTTCTGCATGTAAACGGTCTGCAAAGTCACAAACCCTCAAAGTACACCCTGTAGCGAGTAAAACTCTAACACAGAAAAGACCTGTCTATGCTGCCCCAGAACGCCTCGTTGGAGATTTCTATTTTTCTTCCTGGTACTAAGTGACGTAACGACGACCCAAATGGACCCATTGGTCCAAATGGACCAATCCGTGGAGCTCCTCACACACACACTCTTTTAGCGGCAAAAATGTGACACGCTGGGGGGGGGTGATAGTGGAGCCTCGCAGCGCGGCGAAACTGTGGGCCCCTACACACGGCGGCGTGCGTTGACGCTTGGCGGTGGGCGTGTCTTGAGCTTGGGGAGTTTACACGAGCAACGCGACCAACAACCAATCACATGAATCTCTCCTGTCAATTGCATAAAAGGTTTTACATGTCACACTTTATATGATGAACATTTATGACATTAATGTCTATGGTGCTATTTTACGCAACATTCCATGCTGGCTAAATACTGTCTATGCCTGCTAGCTGTCCATTCAAACGAAGTACACTGGATATAAACTCCCCAAACAGGCGAAAACCTACCAGTTTCACCCACTGTCTCTGCCACCTCCCTCCGTGCCTGGCTCCTCCGGTTTGTATGAACAGGGACTGATCATAAAGCACCGGGTGATTCCCTACCGCTACGATTATTTTCTCCTCCATTTTTTGGCATATGAGGAAATGAACTGCAGTATGGCTCTCCCAGCATACACGTGGTTTGATTGGCTAGCGCTTGTACTGGCAGATTTGCATAAGCGGGATTTGATTGGCTGACGCCTCCGTCGAAGCTTCAAAAGTAGAACATTGCTCTACTTTTGCAGCGAGCACCGCGAAAAAAGCTACGCTTTGCTCCCACAATGCAGTTCGGCGAAGCGTGACGTCACCCCATTCAAAATGAATGGACAGAAGCGTTGAAGCGTCAACGCACGCCGCCGTGTGTAGGGGCTGTTACACTGTAGGTGCGCCGCGTTTGGGGGTGCGGGGGGGGATGCGGGTGCTAGTGGAGCCTCGCTGCAGGCCCCTCAGCACCCCCCCCCCCCTTCCCGCGTCCATTCGCGATGTCTCGCAGCAAGCAGGAAACCACACCAGTAAGCCAGCTCACACTGTCAGCTCCTCGCAACAGCGAGCTGACCAATCAGAGCACACTGGGCTCACAGGGAGGGGGGGCAGGAGCTCCAACAAGGCATTTATGACAGATAGTGAAATTCAGTGAATACACATACTATACAGAGATGCTGTATGAGAAAACCAATGTGAGTTTGGAAAATTGCACAATGTAAATCTATTCTAGTAGACAATGGAATTATGATCAGTAGAAATGGCCATGTCATGGGACCTTTAAATGAAATGTTCACAATGAAATGCAGTCAGTGTTTTAGCAGATACGTGATTCATGTGAGAAAAAATGCAATGCTCCTTATAAAACATGTACAATATATATATTGCTAAAATATTCTTTGAGTATTTCCTGCCATCTGTTTTTTCTTTTTAGACGCAGCTCCGCATCTGTTTAAAATAACTTCATGGAATAATATGGTTAATTCTAGTTCATCAAGGGTGACAATGGTGGTGATTGTGGCAAAACGTACTCCCTCCAGGAACTTCATTGACATGTTTCTGTCAGCTGACAACTTTTTCCAAGAAGTGCAGCAGTCCAACATCTAGAGAAAAAGTCTGGTTCACCTTTTATAGGCTAAGTTTCCAAATGCTGGCAGTCTAATTTTGGACTTCATACTAACAGTATAATGAATATCATGGCCTAACGTTCATAATGCTTTGTCTTTTTTATGATTCCTTTGGTTTAAAATGTATCTGATGCATGTACCAGTGTGTACCTGGTGGGGCAGATGGTCAGTTTGTTGTGGCTCGGTCCCTGCAAATGCATCCTGGCCTGGGTTTGGGTTCATCCCCTCTATCCTCCCCTTTCCTGTATATCTTTGGCTGTACTATAATAAACAGATTAAAAGTTGTTGTTTTTTATTAGTCATGGATTTTGCCAGTGCTGCTGATGAAGAATCATTTAAGAATATTGCTACAGTACGATCCTAAATGTACCTTCTGTACTTAACAACAGGTCAAATTACACTTACATGTCTTTTTTTTCATTACAAATCTTTTTTAATTATAAATCAACTAATACATTATAATGTAATAGTATTTATCAAGATACCAAGCATTACAAAGTTAATAGAATAAGCTCCTCCTTTTACAATTGCAACATTAAAGAGTTGTACACAGGTCACAGGAGTGCCTCACTTATTATAATTCAAAGACAAAATGAACCTGAAATGGCGTATTCTGCATAGGGATTAGATTGTGTTGCGGTACTTTCAGTCTAATACTATAATATTACTTCTACTTAATTTTGATTGCAAGACATTTCTAAAAATGTAGCATTTATTTTCCTTTTTTATCTAAGTCCAATTTCTGAATTCTTCTTCCACCACTGAGTATTCTGTTTACAGTGTTGTACTAGTATCGTTTTAAAGTAAATTATCTGAATAATTCCGCAACCAATAACTGTCAATAATTGTCCCCCTGTGTTGTTGTGGTAGGGTCCGCACGGTGACCACATATGACACGAGTCTGGCCAATCAGGAGACGAGGGGGGCGTTCCTATCGGCTTCATTCTCCACTGCTGTGCTGGACCACAACAAACAGCGACGACATCGAATGTTAAGCAAGTAAAACAAATAACAGGTAAGACGTTAGCTAACGAGAAAACAATATGTAGTTTACTGACTGTACAACATAACAGCCATGGTAACGCTATATATGCGGATTCTCCTGTTGCGATGCCATTCATTCGAACAATGTGTTCATTAAATAACAGAATTACGCGACGAAATTAAAAACAATATTGATGATGCTGTTGAAATCAAAATGTAGAGACCAAATATCGCCTTTTGGAGGAAGAATAGATAGGTTTTAACAGTGTTCATGCGGCCGGTACGTTGTGTTCTTGCTGAGTCTCTGCAGCTCAGCGGCCTGTGTTCACAGACTCATAACAGACATCCTGTACTGAGTGACAGCGTGCTGTGTGTCGGAGGCATCTCTTATTATTATCTGCACGGTGTGTCTCGTACATAATGTATCAGTAGCTATGTTTTGGTGGAAGAAATATTCAGATCCTTGTCAACGCACTAATAGTGTGAAAAGAATCCACTACCAGTAAAAAAAAAAGCCCTACATTCAGCCTTGTGGAGTTAGTAGGCCCTGCTATGTGTTATCAGCCTAATCTACTAAGCATAAGCACTCATTGAAGTAATAATTTGTCATGGTGCATTTTGCAATCACCGGCTTGTTGTACACCCCTCCCAAATAATGTTGCATTACTAATACTGCTGTGTTTATGTTAGATGTGGAAGTACCGGATCTTGTTCTATATATATTTTTCTAATTACCAAAGTGCATAAATACTCTGTTACATGTTAAAGGCTTACATTAAAAATGTTAATTAAAGTACCAAAAGATGGTCATATAAGTCCTTAAAGCATATGTATGTGTGTGAAAAAAAATAACTCTAACAATGCTATGAAAATGTTTTGAAAGGACACAAAAAATGACATTATATTGCTTTCCCTACTAGCCTATATCGCAATAAGCTAAAACTTAAAGCATTCCCATTTTGATGCCAGGTTCTTGCCAATACAAAACCCTATAAAAGTCTGTATACAGAGGATTCAACAAACGTACATTAAGTAAAGGTAACATATGTGTCTCCATTGAGCATCACAGAATTATTTCAGTTGTATTAGGTCATTTTACCGGAGCCTTTTTTCTTGGAAAACGTGGCCTGGAATTTCGTCCAGGTCCCATTTCACATTCAGACCGCTGTGTGGCATGTGGTTAGTCAGCATTTCCTGCTGTACCTATACATGGCGGTTCCTCTTGGCTCATGCTATCTTTTGTGTTGTGTACAGACGGCTGCAAATATGGGCAAGTTCCATTCTCACATGGCTAACCCCAAAGACGAAAGTCAGGACGCGCTGACAGCTTCTGACGGGGATGAGGATGGAAAGAATGGAGACGTTTCTCAGTTCCCCTACGTGGAGTTTACTGGACGGGACAGCGTGACATGTCCGACATGTCAGGGCACCGGCCGTATACCACGAGGTAAATCTTTATAGATATACTAACTCAACTCAAACTAGCTAAAGCTAAAAAGGCAGCATCACTTCATGTTCTGAAAAATATATACTTAGGTGTTATTTCTTTCTTTTGTCAGACTTACACTTAACCACTTTAAAGGTCTTTTACTGTCACAGACCCATTTTGTAGGAAAATCCTGAGAGTTTTGCTATAGTTATAATTCCATATGGTAGAATCATGGAATTTCACTTTTATTGATATCAACTTCTACATTTATGGTATGTATATCACTACTTTTAATTGAGGAAATTAATTCATCACTGCATTAAAAAATACTGCATTCAGCTGTCTGTATTGGTGGGTTAAGAGTAAGTGGAAAAAGTCAACTGCAAGATATATCTGTGATTCTTCCTAGTAGTGTTCACAGTGCAAATCTTACAAAATAGTGCCTTTTTTCAAACAGCCGAATGATACAGCTTTCCTTTGATGTCCTTTCTTTGCATTTTAAAACAGGTCAAGAGAATCAGCTTGTGGCTCTGATTCCCTACAGCGACCAAAGGCTCAGGCCGAGCAGGACGTAAGTCTGCGCTCTTCTTAAAGATTAATGGTGTTGGCTGTATGCGTGATGAAATTCAAAAGAACACACAGTAGCATGTTACACATTGAAGTCCTCAGCTGGATTCAGGGTTTCACTTCTCTTTTCCTTCTCATGCAGAAAGCAGTATGTCACGATATCAGTGGTCCTCTGCCTGCTGCTGTCAGGCCTCGCTGTTTTCTTCCTATTCCCTCGCTCTATTGATGTCTCCTATGTGGGAGTGAAGTCCGCCTACGTCTCCTATGACCTGGACAAACGCATCGTTTATCTCAACATCACAGTAAGATTGTGTCAGAATATTCACCTTAATAGAAACACTCTAGGATGGTTCAATAAGTTGGCTTGTGTTTAGGTTAACATTATATAGATTAGATTAGATTAGATGTACTTTATTGATCCAAATTGGAAAATGTGTTTTGTTACAGCACCATGTAAACAACGCATTGCAAATGAGTTCAAAATGCACCAAATGTATGTATAGTACCTTAATTAAAAATATGTAAGTAGGAGAAGAGCATGCTTCGAGAGTCAAACACAATGTTGTTATCCTATTTGTGCAGTGTTAGCACCATAAGGCTGCACAAGCCATTTTGTGAATTCCTCTTTGCATGTTACTGGTTCAACAACCAAAAATAAACCGTTAAAGCTAGCAACTGGCTGGTGAGTAATGTGGAGTATTTCTCATCTCAAGAACCAGATACTTCCCTCAGGGGTTGGTGGAGAAACAGATTCAATGGAGAGATTGCAATTTCAATTTAAAATGTGGTAATGTGTAAGTGTTATGTTTAATAGTAATTATTATAATGGCAATGATTACAATCTCTACAAGTCAATGGTGTAGCTCTTTAAATCAACCACTATTCTGCCATTATCTCAAGCCTTTTATCTTCTTCCATCCAGAGCACCCTGAACATCACCAATAATAACTACTACACCATATCTGTGACCAACATCACAGCCCAAGTGCAGTTCTCCAAGACGGTGATCGGCAAGGCCAAGTTGAACAACAGCTCAATGATCATACCACTGGATGAGCGGCAGGTGGGTTGAAATACATTTGACTATTCACACACAGAAAGCAAAGCTAAGACAATCTATTTATTATTATCCATTTAAAAAAGTTGATTGACATTTGGATGTCCTTAAGTTATGACAGCTGCTTATACAACTGCTCATTGTTATGCCTAAAGTCACAATACCAAGAAATCTCATACAGTAGCACAACTAATATACATTTTGTTTCTGTAAAAATGCCTCACACCAATGTTTTCCTCATGGTTAAAGCATCATTGTCTTGTCTTGTGACATTACAAATCATGGTACCACTTCTTTCTACTAGACAATTGGCCAGTGAGACCGTAAAATCTATACAATTGAATCCGTTTTTTTGTTTTAATTGGCATAAATGTGTATTAGGTTAATGTGTCATATTGATTTCAACTAAAAGGCTTTGATTGTTATTGCAGATTGACTACACAGTTCCCACCACCATTGCCGATGAGATGAGTTACATGTTGTAAGTATCTTTATGGAGCATTACACAAATGTACTGATAACACGTTGATCCTTTTTAAATCACAAACCAAATATTTTCTTACAGTGACTACTGCACCTTGCCAACCATCAAAGTTCACAACATTGTGGTCATGATGCAGTAAGTATGGCTTAACATACAGTTATTGTATCACATGCCACATTCTGATGTTTTACTTTACATATAATCATACTGAATGTATTATTACATATTGTGTATTTTATCCTTTCATACATCAACATCCATTTCAACAACTTTGCCTCCATACACTTACATCGACTCCCACACATACTGAAAAACTGCCCAGAGACAACACCGTCCAACAGGAGATACATGGGCCTTTGGGTGCACTGCTCATTACACGCTAACACTGACTTTCAAACAGATTGCAAAGCAAACATTTGGCTGAGGCAGAAATAATCTTTATTAGTCCACCTAATCCTCTGTGGTCTAAGCCAAATAACAGCTTTCAAGCCAATTAACAGTAGACTGAATCCCAGTAAAAATGGTACCATAACACCCACTTTGCAATTCAGTGGTTTTATATCCAGACCATAAAGCCCTGAGGATCACGCTTCCCTAAGTCATTTAACAATGGAAGATGTGTTTATTCAAACAAAACACAAACTGCTTTTGTCTGATGCTTAACATTTTGGGAGAATGAGTCTAACAACTGGCTTTAACAGAAAGCAACACAACTACAGTATAACATAAATATGGAAATGCAAGTCAATAAATATCTTTCTTTTGAATTACTCATAGAAGAATAGAATAGAATTGGGAGGGATGAAACCCTCTTTAATGGTCACACATGCAGAGCACACAGCACACACAGTGAAATTTGTTCTCTGCTTTTAACCCATCCTAGTACCAGGAGTCTAGTACTAGGAGCAGTGGGCAGCTATTGTACAGCGCCCGGGGAAATTCATAATTTCAGCACCGGTTACAGAAAGCCAATGCTAATAAATGAAGCAGTCTAAGCTACATAGCTCAATAGTTAGCAAAGGAGACAAAATGAGTTCAAACTAGACTATTGCAGGCTTCAGAGGTCACATTCGTCCTGAGCGTGTCTCACCTTGTTATCTGATGTATCGCCGTTGACTCTGTGGTTGTTTTTCAGGGTGACGGTGACGACTTCGTACTTCGGCCACACGGAGCAGGTCTCCCAGGAGATGTACCAGTACGTGGACTGTGGGGGGAACACCACCTCCCTGCATGGTCATGTTCAGGTCTACCAATAAAAAGAAACAGAAGGAGCCCAAGCATTAAAACACTGCTGTGGCTGAGGGTCTAACAGATAAACGGGCTGACTTCCGCGAGGCAAATCCTTGCACAATGACAATGAAATAATGCATAGGGACATAACTTTTATTAAACTAGTCAGTGGCTCATCCATTCTTACGATTCCCAAACACTTGCACGAGCTTCTTTGGGTTGAAACTTGTCAAACAGGCTGTTAAAAGTAGAGAAGACATATTTTGCATTACTTGCCTCAAGGTTTGTTGTCATTTTTCACCCAGGTGCCAACAAAATAAGTTATGTAATTTAATATTCACATAAATGGCTAACATTCCCATCATGTTTTCACTGTGATTCCTGAACAATTACATTTCAGAAAGCATTAGTTTCAGATATGATGCACTTTAACGAGCGATGCACCAATCATTCGGCCGAAACCAAAGTCATTTTTTTTTTTTTTTTGCTTTTGAAATGTACAAACATGCCGCATAATGGTTAGGTTATGGTCACACACACACACACTCACATCATATCGTCATTATTTATGGTAATGACATAAAGTGTGTTATTATACAGATATGCTTGGCCTGTAACTGGGCACAGTTTTGGAGAAAATGTTAGTTAATGGTAAAAAGATGTATTGTAAACATTAAATTCAACTTTTATTATCAGGAAAGTTACAAAGCTGTTTGTGTAACTTATAGTTCTTGATAGAAAGGAAATCTAAACCAACAGGTCAGACTGGAAAAATAATTGACATCGGCCAAAAATGTGCAGTTGGTGCATCTCTAACTTTAACCTGGTCCATATCTATAGATATGAATGAATGTAGAATGAGTATCACCTACTACTCTATACCACTTTTAATGAAAAATACAACCAAGGTTCAAGAGTGGAACAAAAATGTGCTGTTTCTCTTGTTGCTGTCACTTTCTCTTTTTTTATTATGCTTTATAGAAATATGATTCTTTATTTGTGTAGCTCTAAATAAATAGATGATGTTTTATATTGTATCAGTTGTTATTTTTGCTCAGAGTTCTTTAGCTTGGGTATAGGTAGTGTAGCATTCACCTGAGTGATTTAAAAGCAAATGTGACTACTATGAAGACTGCTACATATTGTTACAAGGTAACAAGATAACTTTGTAAAAGGGATTTATAAAAAAGGTAATTTATAGCTAATGTGAAGCATTAAAGTGGTCTATAAACATGCTGAACTGTGTAAATGTAAAATATGTCACATCTGTCTTGCTTCCTAACATGCTTTATCTGGATTCATTGCAATCTCTTCCCTTTCATTGTGGTTTTTATTTTTGTGGGCTATGTTGTAATTTGCAATAATTTGTTTAATATTCTAACACACTTTAACTTGTATCATGAGTGGACTGGTTTTCTTTGGTTTCTTTTAGTCAAATGTTATCATTTTGTGTTGACATTTAAAAAAAACTCAATGTGAAGTATCTAAAGGTTTTTGATTATACAGTCATTCATTTATGATCGGACAGATATGATAAAATGCCATAATGCAAGTTTTTCTAACTATTACTACAATTTCTAGACTCATAAGAAATCTGTAATCACCCATCCCTTCTTTATATTTGATGAGATAGTGTATATTTGAAAACCTCTACACAGGGGTTTTGTGTTTTTCATGCATTAAAACAAAAATAAAATCATGCCTCATTTTAAAAGCCCTTTCATTTTCTTGGATGTTGTAATATTCTCTGTACACACTGGGGGGTGCCATGTGGTCTCAGCTAAACTACAGTTTTACACACCTAACTGTTGTAGCTATAACAAATCATCTAGATTGACTTTCTCAAGTAAAATGTTGTTTACAGTACAGTTTACTACAACTTTAAAGGGAGACTAAATGTGTTGACCAGGTAATATAATTGCATGTTTAATGTAGGGATGAAACTAGGAAGTATTTTTGTTATTCATTTGGTGAATTGTTTAATCTTTGGACAATTAATCTATAATAAAAATCCAGATACATTCAGTGTATTAAAAAGGAGAGTAAATACTGAAAATATTTACTTTTGAAAAGTCAAAACCAGGGAATTGTGGGCTCTTAAAAAGAATATCTGTTTTTAAAGTGTATCATTCATCAAAGTAATTACAGATACAATTTATGTCAATTGGCTAAACTATTTAAAAAGTAATTGTTTCAATGCTAGTTTATGAATAAACATTTTGCAGAATGAAAAATACAAGATACTGACAATATTTTTTGATTCAAGACTCTTACCAGTAACAGGGCTGAAATGGAAATGCCATACATGATATAAGAAAAAATATGTTTAAATCCTTTGGGGGGGTAAATATGATAGCCAAATATACAAGTCTGATCACTATTTTCTGATCTTTTACGTTTTAAATCCTTACTGACTTACTATGGTTTGTTTTTTGTCTGACTTATTTGATCCCTTCACATGTAAAAAAGTATGCAGATTAGGACTTAAACATTGTAACATTTGTATTTCTTTGACTACACCATTCTGGCTGGGTTGTGACTGATATTCTCCTTGTTGGAGCGAGAAGCACAAGATGTCCCCAGTGTATCACGGTATGTTCACATCTGTTGCTCTCATTTAAACACCAGTTCACTTCCTCTCTGAGATCCAGCTCAGTGGTTTGGACCGGAGCTTCACTGGGATACACGTTGCCAACACACACACGCACACGCACACGCACACGCACACGCACACGCACACGCACACGCACACACACACACACACACACACACACACACACACACACACACACACACACACACACACACACACACACACACACACACACACCACACACACACACACACACACACACACACACACACACACACACACACACACACACACACACACACACACACCTAGTAATAACTTTTCCCTTTGTCTGAGCATACTGTAAGCTGTCAGTTTTTTTCTGTATGACTGACATGTCTTAATCAAATCCCAGCCAATATATTAGCATGCCAAAAAAGGAAAGATCATATGTTGAACCATTAAATAAGATATTCTGCCTCAGTGAATATCTTTTCTGTTACACATTTGTGAGAGATGTTTGCCCAGCATCTTGTTGTTTATTGAATACAAGTTAGCTTATATAGCCATATCAAATGTGTTTTTCTCTTTAATAGCAGAATAGGCTATAATCATTTAAATATTTTCATGATTTATATACATCTTCAAATACGCCAAGTTTTGCAATCAATTATATTCTGTTATTTTCCTGTCTTTTTGAGTAATAATAGGTTATCACTGTCAGTGAAAATGAACTAATCACAGGTAAACAGTTTAATAGTTAGATTAAATCACAATTGGTGAAGCTGAATTTATATGCTTGTGAACTCTGTGGAAATGTAACATGCAACTTTAAAGTTATAGGCTGCCGCTGATCATCCTGACAGTTTTGCAAATTGTCAGGCAGCATACAGAACTTTGTATCAAATACCATTGTAGTTTATGGCATGCAAAGGGCTTCAGGCTCCTAGTTTTCTTATAGGAACATTACAGTTTTCAATAGAGGAACATTGAATAGTATGGAAAGCTAATTAACTGCTAGTTCTCATAACAGAGACCCAGCAAAGAGGACAGCCACATCCGCTATTGATCTGGTTGTGTTATTGCCATTAAAGCAGACCTCCCCCTCGCCCTGTACTTCATATAGACCCAGCACTTCCTCTCAGGTCAAAGGAAATGGCTTTTCCACATGTCTTCTACATGAAGTCACATCTCCAAACAAGTCTTTCAGAAGAAAATAGAATCTAGCTGGCTCCAAACTGAACCTCTTTTGCCTGTGCAAACCATAGACGGTGAAAACTGATCCTACAATATGATGGACATTAGATATCACCCTACAAACAATGTACACATTAACAAGTTTACAAGAATGTTGCTCTTCTGTTACTTTGACAAAGTGTTTGCTACATAGCATGCGCTTATGAGGGTTTTTACATAAGATGAACAATTATAGATGATTTTTTTTCTCCATCTTTGTTGAACTTTGTTTTAAGCTTTATGTTGTATCTTTGAGTAAATTGTTGTGTTTGTAAAAAAAATAAACATTGTCAAACTTCCTTTAGGCCTATTTCTTTGCTAGTGGTGGGAGAACAATAGCAAACAAAAAGGCTCAAATAGACTCAGAATGAAATACTACACTAGAAGTGATTGTGAAATTGTACAAAATGTAATTGTATTAAAATATACTGAGTTGCTTTCTAACACCTGTAGTAACATGATTCGTATTCATGTTAGGAAGCAATGTCAAATCAACAAGAGCTATTCTTTAAAATTAGCTACAAAAAATACAGAATTAACTTTACCTTCAACCCCACAGTTTGGACAACCCTTGCTCAGTTGTGCAACATCTTTTTGCATAATTTGCTAGTTAGCTTGTTGACAACAGGGAGAACAACTATTCACAGGTAAATTAACGTTTACTAAGGGAGCTAACGTTAGCTAGCCAACAAGCTAAAGTTACAGGAATATAGGAATGTGCTTCGATAAAACATGTTGAAGGTAATTTATTTGGCGTAGCCTATGTAGGCTACTGATATGTCCAGCGTCTAAATTAGCAAAAACTAATGTTTGTGTGACGTGCCCACTTTCCAAACTCACCACGCATCCAACCCCTCCACATCATCCGGCCCCTCACCGCTCTCTCCCAGCCCCCCTGCCCACTGCTCCCCCCGATACTAACCTGTAGTGTCCGTGTGTGCACAGCGGGGGCGTCGTGGGGAGGTCTCTCGGTACTTTCTCCTCCATCTCCTCAACCACTGCACCCCTATCTGTTTCTTTCTCTCTCCCAGAGACAAAACACTAAACATGGGTCTCGTGGGTCTCTGTTCAGCGGTTCTTCTGCTCTCCCTGGTCGCTCTCAGCTCCGCCGCGGGTTCGGACGCCCCCCGAGGAGTCGCGGTCGGGTTCGTTTTTGACCCAAAAGCGAAGTGCGAACCGCCGTGCAAACACGGAGGCGTCTGCATCCGCAACAACACATGCTTCTGCTCCAAGGGCTATGAAGGAGAGACCTGCCAGTATGGTGATGTTACAAACTTTTATTTTTGTTTTTTACCTAGCTTTTTACCTGCATGTATATGTTCTCTTATTAGAAAAGTGTCAGTAGAATATACAATAGCCTACATTTTTTAGCTATATTTTCCTCCTCTTGTAGAAGAAATACGTTTTTTCAAGTGTCATGCTCTTAAATGTGCACACATAATGCATTTTATAAGACTGTAATGTAACTAAAATGCAGATTATTTTAGGTTTCTGTCAGGATACTGAATGTAGCCCTAATTGAGTTTAAGAATCTTGATTTCCAAATCACCAAAAGAGAGCATATACAGTATACCTCTTCATCATAATGACTTATTCTACTTTAACTTTTACAATATTTAAGATTCACACTTTGAGTGTTAATGTCAACATTTTGTGTCAATGCAGCCAATTGTTATCCCAAATGTAAGAATGGAGGAACGTGTCTTCGTCCTGGAAAATGCAGATGTCCTCCAGCATATGGAGGACGATACTGTCACAAAGGTAAGGGTTTGTTTGCAGTTATTTGTAATTTAAATATCTTGTTGGTTCAACAATTGTTTGGAAGTTGTTAAGTTCTTGTCTATTTTTAATTTCATTGTCGAGATTAGTCTTAATGCATTTGTTCTGCATCAATCCTGTAGTAACTGGTACCGTAAGGGTTAGAAGATAAATCTGTTGACTTGCAAGACAAATACCAGGACAGGGGGAATTTAGGAATGTGACTAAGTTAAATATTTCTAAAATAAGTGTTGACAAAATACTTAAGGACAGGACAGTTGAAACTATCATCCAGCTTATCACAGTGATCTGTGTCTCTTTCCACAGTGACGTGTGAAGACGGCTGCTGGAATGGAGGGGAATGCAACGCTGTTAACGGAGTGGCCAAGTGTATCTGCCCCTCGAGCTGGACCGGCTCAAAATGCCAAGATGGTCTGTACATGTTATGATCGTATCGAATTACCCTGTTGACACCAAAGGTCAAAGTCACCAAATGGAGCTGGTCTCTCAGCAGGAGCTATTCATCCTCAGCAGCACACTAAAACATTTTAAATACTTATATTATTGGTTCCAAGTTGCTGTCAGAATGGAAACCAGCTATTCATAACTCAGTTGTTATGAATGACATTTAAATGTATGATGTGTGAATAATGGATGAAACATTTGCATTGGCAGTAAATTGTAGCTCAAGTTGCGCATAGCAGAAATGTCCAACAATCGTATTGGTTGAGATTAACTTAGTAAAGCTAAGAAGCAAATTGGTTCCTTTTCCTATGTACCTCATACGTTTTTGCTATAAAGATAAAATGGTCTTCACATGTTGGGATATATGACTATTCCCTGTCTTGCTAAGAATTAAATCAGATGTGCGTTTCTTGTTAACTTAACATAAAACATGGACATGGGGGTAACTGCTAGGCTGGCTAAGAAATATACCCCACACTTTGTCAAACCGCAACATATTGTTTTTATGCTTCAAGGTTCAAGGTTCTTTATTGTCAAACTGACATAGTTACAGAGTAATTATGTTGTTGAAAATCTTATGTCACAGGCTTCTCCAACAATGCAACATAATAACAATACAGATAGCAAGAGCAATACAAAAAGAAAAATAGTTATAAAATAAAGTGAGCATGTGGAATAGTGCAGTACGAGTCTTCAGTTTTTGTTTGGATTCCACAAACGAGATGTGTTAAATTATATATCTTTAGAGGTTTGGGTAGACTGGTTTTGTTTCCTTCAGGCAGAGCCAGGCTAAACCAAATGATTTATTCCTCTAGAAATGTTTCTGAATCCAGATAATGTGAGCTCAGATTGTTTTGTTTTCCGGCATGCTGAATGTCTTTCTATGTATTTTCTTTCCCGTGCAGCTATCTGTCCACAAGGCTGTAGGAACGGGGGAATGTGTGTGGCTCCAGGAATCTGCAGCTGTCCGGAGGGATGGCTGGGTGGTGCCTGCCACACTGGTGAGTTCAACCTGCTCCCAAAGACCAAACACTTCCACATGCATGAATGCATTTACAAGCCTGATTTATTTTTGCTTCTTTTCCCATCCATTCAAAGTTTTGTTCTTTTTAGATTTGGTTGTGCTTTCCCAGGATCCCTGTTAACTGTCTTCAACTTTCTCTGAAGATAAATGCTAGATATCAGTCTGCTAAACAGCTGATAACTGTATAAGTCAAATGTGTAAATCTGCTAAGGGAACATTCCTAGCTAAGGGTTTTGCCAGATGTGACACAAACCCAGACCTGGAAATGGTTCTCACCTCAGTTTCTGGATTTGTAGTGTTGGGATTTCCAAGCTCTAGTTATAAACTATGATACTTGTTTCTTAGGTTTTACAAATTATTAAACACGTTGTTTTGTTTATTTTGTCCCTGCTAAAGCTGTGTGCACTAAGTCCTGCCTGAATGGAGGAAAGTGTATTTCTCCAGACAAATGCCGCTGCCGCCCTCCTTTCTCTGGCCCTCTCTGCGAGGAGAGGAAGAAGTTTCACTAGTGCCGAGTCAAAGGTCACGGAAGCCCAAAAAGAGGCTTTATGCAAATGTTGACGATTCAATGATTTACCTGAAACATGTAGTTTTTACATTTTTTCTACTATATTTAGTTGTTTTTAAGAAACCTTGAACTTTTTAAGTGTTCTCACTTGACTGTATAAACATGATATGTACTGTACTGTAGCTTGTGCCAATAAATGAATCAAAGAGATGTGCATGAATCAAGATCATTTTACCAAAACAAAAGCACATAACTTGAACATTCTTTATTTTGTCACATAACTTGTACCACAGTGTAATTTTGTCCGATATTTTTTTTATACAAAAACAAAACCCTATATATATCCCCAAAACATGGTAATTACTCAACCCCCACAAACAATATATTAATGAAAGCAAAACTGAAAAAATCATTTCAACTCACCATATCTTCAGTCTTAAACAAGTACCTGATGTGAACCTCTACATGAGCCATAATCAATAAAGCGGCATAGCATTTGAACAGTGAGAAACAAACAGTGCCGTTTGGCAAAGTTTTAATTCGGCTAAATAGTGAAACATCCAAAGCTAAAAACCTATTGGTGATAACCTACACTTTATGAATGAATTATCACGGTAACAGATTCATTTGTCATCTACTCATTTTACATAATACTGGGCAGTAACATTCACATATGTGGAAAGTCTCTGCTGATGCCTTTACCAGATGTGTGCTACTGTGAGCCTTGAGGTAGTGATATACAGAGCAGACAAGTGCAATCCATCATGTTCCCCTGTTAGCCTTCAAATTTGCACAGAGTCACATTCACAACAATTTATGATGCCCTCCTCTTGCTTTGTGCATTGTGTAGCTCCTATCTTCCCATTTCTCCTCCATCATGCTTGTGATGCCTGTAAAGGTGCAAACAGAAATAAATACACAGAATCATTAGATTTTCCATGCTATGTTTAAAGATACATCTAAGGTGGCCTTTTCATTTATTTGAAGCCTACAGTAAGTCCAAGTTGGTGCCTTTTGTTTTTCTTGGTGTACTGTAATAGGAAACCATAGAGCAGAGCATCAGTTTTTTCTGAAAGATAACCGTTGTAAAAACATAACAAGTGTTTCATTTTGTTTGTATACTTCAGTTTAAAATGAATAACTGGTGAATATATATGTGTTTTATTTCCCAGCAAAAACAGTGGTATACTTCAGACTGCATTTTCAACCTGTCACAGAACACATCTATGATTCAGTCTCTCAACCATCAGATGGCTGTCTTGAGATTTTGTATCATTGCTGGACATTTATCTTTCAGAAAAACAGTTGCTTAGCTCTGTGACACAACCTGGGGCTAACAAATCCCAGTGGGAATATAACCCTGGAGTTCGTATTGCTTCTCCCACTGGGCTACACAGAGACATACTGTATAAATTGCGGCTCCTTTTCTGACCTTTGTAGCACAGGTGAAGCCCTTGTAGCCTCTCCGACAGTAGCAGTAGTCAGGAAGAACACACCTGCCTCCGTTCAGGCACCGCTGCTTACAAACCGCTGAGGAGAGGATCAATATTACAGGAGTTAGCATGTGTGACTAAATCATTTGAAAAAAAAATCAAAAGAATAAAGGGATAAAATACATTTGTCCGTTTATCCTGACAACAAAAAGCAAATTAGTAAAAAATAAAGTTATGGCAGGGGGCGAGTGTACGGTGTTGAATATCCTTTGTTTTATCATGAATGAACTCACGTGTCTGACACTGGAGACCTTCCCAGCCGGAGGGACAGTGGCAGGTGTTTGGGCCCAAACACTCGCCACCATTTTTACACTTTTGCAGACAGACAGCTATAGTGAGAAAAACAGAGTGAGGCTGAACTCAGTCTACAGCAGCTCCGTCATGTGGGCAGAAGATCTGACACAACTTTAACAATGACATGGATTAAAGAAACAGTAACAAATGCAGATTAAATACATAATTTCAAGATTTTAAATATACTTTTGCTATATTTGGTATGTATAAACAAAACATGGAGTCACTCACGTATGTTGCACCTCATCCCTGTCCACCCTGATGCACAGGAGCATGTGTTGGGTCCTACACACTTGCCTTTGTTCATGCACATTGGCTCACATACACCTGCAACACCATTTGTATACATTAGGGTGAGATATTGAGAGTGGTCTGCCAGTGACGAGTTTCACTTTAGATAAGACTTAAAACATGCCAGTTTACTCACTCCTTTGACACCTTTTTCCTGTGTAGCCTTCAGGGCATGAGCATACATTGTTCCTCATACACTGACCTCCATTCTTACAAGGTTGACTGCACACAGCTGAAAAACACAATAATATTACTGAAAAAATTATCCATCCTCTTCTACTGTACAAGAACAAAGCCCCTGACCCTGCACTGTGAGGGAGTAAGGGCTGGCATGATTCAGCCAATTATAAATGTATTATTGGTGAAAGTAAACTCAGCATTGCAACCGAGTCTCAGATCTTTTTAAAGTATGCTGTTAACTTTGCTGATACTTCTGCAAGTTTCTTTATTTATTACATTCATTTGACTTATCACAAACTCTAAATTCAAATCCAGAAAGAGGAAGTTCTTCATGGTTTTGCAGATTGGTTACCAACATTGTATATGTTGAGAGAAACATGAAGCTCTTAAATGGATTAATTTACAGGTTCTGATTGGATGCAGCTGCAGGGAAACTGCATTATATCACAGGTAGACTGATAGAGTTTACATAAAAAGCCAGTATCAGCTAACCAATACATCTCTTTAAGGCTGACTGTTACTGTATTGTATTGTCTTTTCACGCAAGCTACCACCTCAAAGAATCTGACCTAGTGCAATAAATAGATACAGGATTTCTGCACACTCCTTCTCTGGGGTTGAACAGCAGAGCAGTCAGATGTGTCAGTGTGATAAATAAACATCAGTTTTACCAATTTGACACTGGGAGCCATAGAAGCCGCCGGGACAGGCACAGATATTGGGCCTAATGCATGTTCCTCCATTCAGACAGACGGGGTTACATACAGCTGAGGAAGACACAAGGACACATTTAGATTATACAGATTTGTAGTTTAGAGTTTTTCTTAAAATCTTAAGTATAAGGCAGACAAAAAAAGCCTGTATGTTTTCCTGTGTTGCATCAGATGTATTGTTTTATTAAATGCAAGCAGTTTGTCTTATGATTAAATGGTGTGCCACCCAGCAAGGGAGTCTATAAATATCAAGGCTGTGTTAATTGTGAGGGAAACTTTACAATAGAAACCTCATGTAGATGCATTGTGAATATACACTTGGTGACAGGTGTAACCTTGTACCTGAGTAACATGTTGGTCCGTACCAGCCTGGTTGGCATTCGCAGACATCAGGAGAAATGCACTCTCCTCCATTTTCACAGTGCCTATTACAAACCACTGAAACAGATGAATCATTATTGACAATTCTAAATGTGCCGACCACTCAAAGGTAATGACCGGAAATGAAATCACATTATTAACGCCTGCTGCTGATGTACAGGTGATCATGAGTGGTATTGATAATCTCATCTGAATCTCCATAAGAAAGTACATTTTGATATTCCCCTTAATGTTGAAATATTCCCTCAATGATCAATGACTTTGAAGTCAACATGACTGACTCTAAACTCAAAGTCATTGTTTAATTGCAATTAATTTGATTTACAGCAAACTAGAATTACTGCCTCGTAGTTTTATGCCTATCCATGTCATAAATACCGCCAGCTCATCATGTTATGCTCTTGGAAATTTGTGTGAAATTGTCCAAATTATCAGATGAATGGAGGTACGGCCATAAAGTGTTTTGTGTGTTCTCAGTGGCCTTAACCATTTAACACCAACAATCAAGTGGATATTTATGACAAATGTGAAGACATTGCCTCACTTGTCCTGAGATATCGCAATAATGAAAATGGGACTAACTGAATCAGGTAAGTGGACAGACTGAAAACATAATGCCTCCGTCCAGGCGCTGAGGGATACAAAAATTCAATTGACTACTTACAGACAGCGCCGTAAATCTCAGAGACTACAACTTTAATACAAACTGTTTGCACATCACAAAATGTTTCACCCAGTCAAAGTATTATGATAACAACTCACTGATTTCACATCTGGGTCCCACATATCCATAGGGGCAGGTACACAGGTTTCTGGCCAGACAGGTGCCTCCATGTTGACAAGGCGGCTCACAGCTTGCTACACACACCGACACGAAACAACACAAGGACTCGCATCAGTATTCTGTGTGTGTCAGCATGTTAGACAGGTGTGAATATGAGCTCAGGTTACCTTCCTCACAGGTGGGCCCGCTGTAGCCCGCAGGACATTCACACACATTACGATTCACACACCTCCCCTGGTTTTTGCAGTCAGGTCGACACACGGCTGAGTGGCAACAAAATTAGACACGGATAAATGAGCCAAGTCCTCAGAGGTGATTTAACAGTAATGTGCCATGACAGCATGCAGAGTGCTCCAAGGTTTAACTATCATAACACTGTAAGTTGCCGAGGTGCCAACAAGAGTGATACTGGAAGTGGAACAATCAGATCGCTTTACTTTGTCCTCAGGGCCTTATCCACTACTAGTGACACATTTAGCAACACAGTGAAAAGGCAAGAAATATATTGTAATTAATTCCCAATGCTACAGTAATCACATTCACGGCTCTTCCTCTACAAACATTAAAATATATGCAAATAAAGCGGGATAATGCTGCCGGTATATCGCCATTTATTGACACTGATACATTTGTTTCCAGCATTAAACATAATCTTACCAATATGGCAGTTGTATCCAGTGTAGCCTTCCATGCAGGTGCAGGTGTTTGGCAGAGTGCACGCCATGTTCCTCCCACACTGGTACCTGCACACAGCTGAAATCAAATGACACGGATACTTGTAGAAATGCACATATGATGGGAAAACATGCCACTCTAATGCACTAAGAAGTTAGACTGAAACAACTAATCGCCTCTTTAGATAATGTGTCCTGTAAAAGAAATCCCAAACAATGGTGGCTAGAATAAATGTGGAAATTTGTAACTGTTGGTCAAACAAAAAAAAGCAGATTGAGGGCTTATGTAATTCTTCTTCGATAATTTAAACCCACAACCTTTTCTCAATAGTGGCAACATGCACAAGTATGTTTATACATCATAGGCACAAACACAAAATGTAATTTTCACGTTGCCAGTCGGTACCTTTACATATGATTCCATCTCCGGTGTAGCCGTACGGGCAGCGGCCGCACTTGAAGGATCCGGTGAGGGTGGGCTCACAGGGAACACCGGGGGAGCAGGGAGAGTCAACACAGGTCACATGGAGAGATGGGGACTCCACTTTCAGCACAGTGGTCAGGTTGGTCTTTCTGTCATCAAAATAACCTCTCCTGACACTAGACATGGTGGCCTCTGGTCTCCGGCTGTCAGGGGGTCTTCTGGGCGAGGCGGGGGACGATGAAGAGGAGGAGGTGGGAGTTGTTTCCTTGCTGGAATTTGATTTGACGATTTGAAAATGACCATCTCCTCCCCTGGTGATTGTCCCCTGCCCTGTAAAATACTGGGAGTTAGAGGATATGACTTAAAAATCTAACAAAGATTTAGCCTCGGTTTGTCAACATTAGAACATTGGATCGTGCCATTTTGTAAAATCAGAAGGGTTTTCAACAGATCCAATTCATCCAAACTACCCCATTTTAAGGAAAGCAATGTCGTCCCTTTCTGTTCATAGTATTCATAATAAAGCTTTTGTTTGACTTTTTTCAATTTTGTTACTTATCCTTAAAAATTATAAATAATTTGAGCAACTAAAATAACCAATTTTCTCAACCTTTAGTTGCTCTTCCGGTTTTATGCGTACCATTAGCCTCCACTCCTACACATAGAAATAAGTGTCATGTAAAAAAAAATAATGGTTTTCATATACGGAAACTATTCTATATCATAAATTGATACATATAGATATAATGATACATACATATATGATAAACAACAAATGTGTTTCAAACTTGCTTGTGGATTTTCCAAAAATAGTTTTAATAAAGCCTTCTGTTCAATTCCAAACCCCAGAGCATACAAGGTCATCACCATTTTTATTTTACAAGTCCCAGTTTCAAGTTTTTTTTTTAAAATAATGACTTCCCTCTTACCTATAGCTTTGCACGTGCGTCCATTTCCATGGAGACCTGCAGGACACGGTCCACAGATAAAGCCCGCTGAGACGTGGGTGCTCTGGAAACACTGAACCCCGGGGTGACATGGCCTTCTGGAGCAGGGCAACGGGCTCGAGGATTTGGGCCTCGATGAAACCTTCAGTACTCTGGCTGGTGTCGTCAATGCTTTGACAGGAGAGTCTTGGTTTCCTTGGAAACAAAAAGGATGAAAACAGCCTTCAAGCCGACAAAAAAATGTGCATGAATTAAAAGAAAGAATAAGACAGGTGTAGAACTTTTGAGTTGTCTTGCTCTTAAACGCATGAAAACAAACCATGATTTCATTCTACTAAATAACCTCCATTTAAGCTAGAAGACTTACGTGTGCAGATGTTCCCGTCACCACTGTATCCTTGTGGACAGACTCCACAGAAGAAGGAGCCCAGCGTGTTGTTACAGCCCACTCCAGGGAAACAAGGCTGTGAGACACACTCATCTATATCTTCTCTACATGTATGGCCTGAAAGCAGAGAAAAACACCAGTCAATATGTAGTTGAAACATTATAACATTACTTAAAAAGAAGAGAATAAATTGGGATTGATTTCCTTAAATGAAGGGCTAATAAGTGACCTTGTTACTACACTGACCCTGAACATGATAAAAGTACTGAAGCTTAATGTTTGGCTCTCAGTATCCGTATCAGTATCTAACTGGCTCCATGCTGTCCATACTTATACCAATTTCTTAGTTAACCATCAATGTTACTGTATACGTGACGTTAAGAGCTCTGCAGTGTAATCCCTACCTGTCATTCCAGCAGGGCAGATACAGGAGAAAGAGTCGGGCCCGTCAATGCAGCGGCCAAGTCGACAAGGGTTGGGTTTACAGTCGTCAACGTCCACCTCACACCTTTCACCTTTAAATCCATCAAGGCACACACACAGGTATTCCCCGCTGCCTGCAGGAAGGTTGGTGTTGGTCACACAGGAAGCTCCATTTAGACATTCACAGGAGTGCACAAACACCTGAAGGAAAGAGGACAAATAAACATGTCTGTAATCTAAGAACAACAACCCCTCATGAGGAAATCGTAACACATGCAAGAAAAAAACACTTGTTGTCTAGTGACTGAAATCAAATACACTAAAGAAGGGAAATATGAAAACAAATCGATGAACACATACAGAGATGAACAAAAAATATTTGGTGAAAATGTGGGTAGATATAAAAATGAAAAAGCTATTCTAAGTAAAATACTATCTCTACAACAGAGAAGATCACATTTTCTCAAGAGTTAATATTGTTTCTCGTGCTTTTCTGCTCAACCTTAAATTGCATTTGGAGCTGTGAGTAGCTCTTTCATTGCCTGTATGCATTGCATTGTGGGACAACAATACACATTAACATGAAACAAAAAAAACATCAAAAAGATTTTAAAATGTTTTTCACATCTTACTTGTTTTTGTTACTTAAGCACAAAGCGTGCTTAAACTGAGTTATTAAGTTGTAAAAACAAAGAAGGGCCATGAGCAGAGAAATACATTTCATCAGCTCCCTCTAGTGGAGCTACAAGTAATTGTCTATTGAGAGCCAAATGCTCTGGACTACAAGGGCTACTTTTTTGGACTCCCAAGAATTCACATACCTGTGTAAAATGACTTACTCTCAACCCTTGCTTAGTATAGACTGTAATAAAGCTGCTTAGAAGAAGTTACATTTGACTGTACTAAAGGATAATCTATTCATTTAATGGACCAAAGGTGTTTTTTTTTAAGTCCTTATTAAAAGAAAATAAATGTACATTTGCAAAAGACACATTACAAAATTACAAAATAACAAAATAACAAAATAATAAAATAATAAAAATAAATTAAAAAAACAGCATCCACATCTTTCATTTTATATTCATCCCCAGAACAGAAGATAACACATAATTTAAACAGAGAATTTCATTTGAATCATGACTCATAAATCCAGTCCAAATGTACGCTACTTGAACTTATCAAGTAAGATATGTTTGGGTCACACAATGAAAAGAAACACACACATTACCTGTATGGAGGCTCTGGTCTCAGCGTTGCAGTCGTCCGTCACTGTAAACTGGAGAGTGTGTGTGTCTGTAGTTTCAGTCCTCCACCTCACCAGCCCATCAGGAGACAGAGATGACCCTTCAGGGCCCGATTCCAGGGTGAAGCGCACCGCTGAGCCCTCAGGGTCCCGAGCTTGTAGCTGATAGATGAAATCCCCTCCCAGGAAGGATCGGAGATGAAACGGCAACGACTGGAGCACTGGAGGCTCGTTCTCTGATGGGAAACACAATTTATGTGCTGGGGGACAAACAGCTTGAAAATGTGGGATTCAGTGAAGTCTACAGTAGACCTTCAGACAAAGCTAAAAAAAATAAAATCGGCCAGGGAAATATTAGCAGCTGCGATTGTTTTTATCTTTTGATTCTGTGTATGTATTTGTGGACAGATGTTGTCAATGCAATAGCGGAGCAATACTGCAGTGATTCAGTCACTACACTTTACAGGTGTGTAGCAAGGGGGTAACATTGGAATCATCCTTATCAATAATCCCCACTGTATCGTTCTATCGTTGTGATACAGATTAGTGATTTAACTTCTACATATTCTGTCATTTCTTCTGAACGGAGTGAGCACTGTTTGACCTACTTGAGGTTAAAGTAGCAAAGTTGGTCTGAAAGTGTAACAATGAGGTAAAGCTGTCCTCATATCAGCGCCCCGGGGACTAAAGCAACTTCAATGGCTCCAATCTGCACAGAGCTGCTGACAGATGATCACAACAGCCCTGAGCAAATACAAGCTACAAAACTCAGTGATGGCTATCCAACCTCAACTCTACTGAGGAAGTGACACATCACAAACTTTTTCATCTTAAAATGTACATTATAGTCTAGACTTCTTGAGCTGTGAGAGGCACCAGATGAGAAACAATATACATACTCTCTGCTATGGACCATGTGTGTTTGGACGAGTCCGGGCGACATGTGAGGCAAGGGCTGCTGGGATTGGAGTCTCCCTCACTGTAACACAGGCCGTCAATGTTGCACCTTTTCTCCTGGGAGGCAGGGACAATAAATAACAATCGTGTTCAGTGTTTATTATTCTTTGAAACATGAAAATATGTCACTCAACCAAGACCTACTACAGTGAGCTACATAGGTATATGTATGTGCATAACATGGCAGCCGAATAATAAGGCATTTCTTTAAGATATTTGCTAACCATGCTGCACGTATTTTGTTAAAATTTAGAAGAAAACATAGATCTGTAAAAATAAACTCCAGGACAAACATAGATTTGAATGGCTTGTTGGCAGAGGCTCAGATTGGCTCTATGTATTACATTAATATCACTTTTTGGAAGGCTGTCTTACCCTCAGGGTGCAGAGGACTTCAGTGTCAAGGCTGCAGATCTGGCAGGCTCCGTCATACAGAGTCAGAATCTTGGCGTTACTGTAGCTGTAGCCATCATTGGAAACCTGCCATCAGCAGAAGCGTGATTACTGTGGATCACTGGGAAAAGGCATTAAACAAATAAACTGAACTGTAGAGAGATTAACTGTTTTTGCTCACAGTTAGTAATGTTTTACTGCTCATATATTTCAATACAGTTCTTTAAAGTCTGTGAAAAATGTCTCTTTGATTTAGAGTTGATTCTAGGGAGATCCTTCTTAGTGATAAATGTTACCAAAAATATTTACATGTTCTTACTGCTGTAAAATTATTCTCATATTGAGTAAATAATCAATTAATCTAAGTATTTTCCTCTTAAATCATGTCAGAGCTGGAGAAGACCTCCAGCAAACCTTCTCATCTGTATGACTTAAGTTTGATGCTAATTCTGAGATTTTGAAAAGCGCTCGAGGCTGTGGTGTGCATTACAGAAAAGGTTGGAGACGTGACTAACTTTGATCTGCAAGCGGGCCAGGGGTCTGTTCGATGCTGTTTCCAGGTCCAGGCCCGCAGGTCCCCGGCTGTCCTCCAGGGGGAGCTTGCACTCCAGAGCTGTCATATCCAGAAAGACGGCTGGGACTAACTGGGGCTCGTCCAGAACCCACTCCCAATCTTCAAACTTCACAGGAGACACAGAGGGAGAGAGTGATAAGAGATGCAAAAGTAATCATATGACAGCTTTATTTGATCAGAATAGGGAATTGATAAAAGGGCATGTAGGCTGAAATGGTTTATACTTGATGCAAGGGGTTAGCACTTAAAGCCTGTGAAGATACCTACGTCAACAATTTGGATTTATTGTATTGTATAGTGAAGAATTTCCACGCAGTACCATCCCCACTACATCATTACCCAGATGTATAACAGCCTCAGTCCGTGTCATGCTTTGATTATATCCCCATGTTAACTGCCAGATATGTTTGAGCTGTGTAAGCAGGTGAACTGGAGTTATATCCAAATAGCTTGTATTTTTACATTTAAGGGATATTCTTTTAAGTATTAAATGCATGAAGAAAAGACAATATAAATGCATAAATGTGCCAAACAAAGTAGTCTGATAAAAACACCTCCCCCACTCTCTGGATTGGACTCCTTATTTGTAAAAAAACAAACATTGTAAGCATTCATCAGAATCAATAACACATGCAATCTGAATTTCTCTCAATTGTTCTTCCATGTGTCAAAAAAAGAAAATAATGTATAACTTGAAGCTTTAAAAATATGTTCAGACAAGAGGATGATTGCATAGCAAAGACAATGTGCAAACAAGGATGGACAAAAGAATGGAAAAAGAAGCTGAACAGCTGTGTACCTTTTCTTTAACAAACTCACACTTGAGCTCGTAGGAGTCCTTGAAGCCTTGACCGTAGACCTGGATGGTGGAGCAGTCTCCCTGTCGTACGTCACAGAGACCCTCCTTCTCCAGCTCAGTGATCTCTGGGATCTGGTCTTCACAATATCAACAACCAAAAGTACATAAACTGTTAGACCTGAGAATGTATTGAACATCACAAACCATATGTCTTGCACTGTAAAGCGTCTTTGAGCACCTGAAAAAGCACTTGGAAAATAAATGTATTATTATTATTATTACAGTTGTCCTGTAGAAAAAAATAGATGTCTTCAAGTAACTGATACATGTATTACAGTTAGGATATATGACATAGCGATGCCTTAAAATGTTCTTTTGGTGAGGGTGTAGCTCAATTTTAAAAAGAAAAGTAGTTTTCTTTTTTTAATTTAAATTGAGGTGAGCTGTAACTATGTTTTGTTATAGATATTTTAAGCGGTCCAACCCAGTAGAAACAAAATGTATCTAACTTAAATCCCTCTTGTAACTGTACCTCTCTAGAACCAGTGTGTCTGTGTCAGTGTATGAGTAGTATTTTACCAGACAGCACACTGCAGTCATATGATCCAAATCCTGGGAAGCAGACACAACCCCACTCTGAGCACTGGCCGTTCCCGTTGCACAGATTGGGACATTTGAGGACAGCCAGAACATCCTGGAACTCTTCTTCTCTCCTCCTCTCCTCTATCAGCCTCCTCTCACACTCGTTTTCCAACAGTGGTAAAGTAGCATTCAGCCATGACTGGTCATCTTTCAGCTGTAGGTCAGTAACACACATGGCCTCCACGCGGCTTATTATTGCCTCTTCTAACAGGCGGCCGCATCCCAACGCTATGCTGGAGCCGGCCACCACCTGCTGACACTGAGTCCTGGCCTGCTGCTCTGTCAGGCCAGAAGGTGTGGGCCACGTTAGAGGAGAGTCTGTTTGAGCTGCTGCTTCGTGGTCCTCTGGGAAAAAGTAGGAGAAGCCCTCCAGATCAGACTGGCTGAGACTTTGGTGTGGAGAGTTAGAAATGTGACGGTGGGTCTGCCGCCCGGCTCTGCCTCCCTGGCGGAGAGCTGAGGTCGAAGCTCCATCTCTGGAGGCTTGCAGGGAGAAACTTCTCTCACGTGGCTGAGAGTTACTGCCTCTGTCCTGGGGGGTTTGACTGGATTGACCTGGAGGCAGCGGCTGTCTGTCGCTTCCTCCGCCTTTGAGTAGTTCCACCGAGCTGATGTACTCGGCTGTGACGTCTAGAGTGGGGATGACACTTTGAAGGTTCACGTTGCCGTGATGAGAGCAGAGGGAGTCGGTGGAGGTGACTGATCGAGATTGGGCTCTGGAAGATGTGAGGCGGGGCCCCGACTGGCAGTTACAGTACTTGCGGGGGCTCGGTATGCTCAGATGGGATGGCACGGTGTCAAACAGGCTGCTGCCAGGGGGAAGCCTGACAGAGGGAAGGAGGAGACGTCAGGAAGGATGAAACAGGGTTTGACAGGAGGCTCTTTGATTGATATATACAGTAAGAGGTACCATGGTTGATATTGTGATGACAAGGGCAGACTCTCTCAGAAATGTAGTATTCAATTTATGACCCAAATTGAAACTTTGTGGCCCCTGGTTTTTGGTTTCAGAAACCATCATGCTAGGTCTTTTTTCGAGATGATGTATGCTAGAACAAAGCTTTGTAGAAGATACTAGGCACCAGTATGACTATTTTAAAGGGCATCCTGAAAAGTTAGTTAGCAAAAATATGTGTATAGCTCAAGAGCTAATACTTCACAATAGTTTCCAGACTTCTGAATCCAAATTCAAGTATGAAGAAACAAGATAGTCATCCTATTAACAACCTTTAACCAAACGCAAAAATTAAAAACAATCCCTCAAGAATTTGCAATATATTTTTCTACCTAAAAATAAATAGTAATTTACATTCATTGATCCATATATGAATTACCTTAAATGACCTCCTATCTCTCCATTCTGTCCTTTAACATGCCAGTGGCATTCTTGGAAGAATTGCTCCTAGCATCAACTATCAAAGCTTTTGTGTAAGCTGACCCATACGTCACTGTTAAAATTACTGACCTCCATTCTGAGATAAAAGCAGGCAGATGCTCCAGTATGGCGCCCCCTGCTGAGTGGAGGTCGTTGGCTGGCTGGCCATTGTAGGTCCCACACAGACCCTCAGTGTGGCCCCGGTCTGAACTGGGAGCTCTCAGCGTGAGACTCATCCCCCAGTCTGAGACGTCTGCACGAACAAACGCTCCTGACGAGAAGGTGATCTGCGAACAGGTAAAGATTCAGGACAATCAAATGAAGACAGAGCGCATGCGATTTCTCCACAACGAAAGATCCAGCTAGATTTTGGATAAGTTTGTCACATTTTTGATGGCTTTTTGTGAATAGATGTATAAACCTCAATAAACAAATAGCTGGTAGTGCTCTGTAGTTTTGCACAGGCTGTTTAACATTCATTATATTCAGTGTCTGACTGGTCCTCACCGTGACTTTGCGGCCCTGGTAGGACTCTGTGATGCGAATGCCGCTCTTGGTCAGGTCTCTGTTCTTCACCGACAGGTGAGGTTTGGTTTCACCCATTTCTCCGTTGCACATGTCAAAAGCGATGACATCGCCGCCGTCCCGCACCACGAAGCCACACACACACGAGGTGGCGTGCACCACACTGCCACACTCCCACTGACGAACATGGACCTCAAAGGGCCTCAAAGTGCTCTTATAGAGGACAAAAGTGCCGACTTGGTAGTTCTCATAGGGCCTGTAAAACAAGAAAAATATTCACAAAATGGATGACCCCTAATTTGTATTGACCCTTAGATATTATTGTGGTACAGTGCATTCACTAGTGACAATTTAAAACTTCCACATACAATTCAATCTGTTGAATTGCATGTGGAACAGTTTAGATTAAATCAATTCCCTTTTTAACCTAACAAGAGACTGATGTACCTGCCATCAAATGTGATAATGTGAGGATCAGTGAAGGAGTAGCAGAACGCTGAAGGGACATCCTTCACAGTTATCTGGAATGACAAATACATTTTTTCTTTTATATGAATAAAAATCGAAACCTCAGGAATTAATAATCACAAGGTTAATAACATGTGTTCAAATTCCACCGGGACAACATCATCTGTTTACCTCAACTGGTTCAGGTGAGTATCCATTCCACAGAAAATTCTGTGTGACGATAGATTTAACAGAGATCTGAGTCGTCCTGTTGCTGTCTTTATGAAAGTCAGTGACGGGGCTGAAGTGGATCAGTGCTCGGCTGCAAACCCCGTCTGTACAGGGGCCCCGGGACAGATGCACCACACAGGACGAGAGAGACAGATCTGCACCCAACAAACCGTCATCTGTAACAAAACAGGGGAAAAGATAGTAGTTATTTTCATGATGGTATAACAGAAAATGGAAAAATAAACTCTATGATTGTTATCTTGCTCTTCTCACCTTTGCTGCTGGTGCTGAGCTGTAAAGACAGAGTGCACGGCTCTGCAGAGGAGGACGACTCCTCCAGACACGGGACAGGAACTGTGCTCTCCACCAGAAGCTCATACAGCCTCCCGTCCTCAGACACACTGCTCACCTCTGGTCTCAGCTGCACAAAACAGGTATTAAACTGATCAGCCCTCTTAAACAATGTGAATCACAAACACATTACATTCAGAGGGAGAGGATTTAGGCAGATTTTTACAGGAATATCATTAAAACACACAGACATGTATGCAAAAACAAACAAGTGCACAGATGTATCAACTCTATACTGCAAAGATAATGTTGTGGTCAAACACATACTGTTCATCAAGAGGCACCACACATAGACAACTTGAGATTACTGTGATATACCCTAATCCCGGCAAAGAACTCCAGACTTTCCACTGAAGCACCACGGATGTTGGGCGAGTCCAAGAAGAAACTGGAGCTCGAGCAGTAGATCTAAGAGAGGGAGAGGATTTGATACGTTTTTTTAAATCAAAACAATTATGCCTGCATTTTAAAGGGAGAAAAACAGAGACAGGGATAGGGGTAGAAAGATAGCAAGCGAAATAGAGAGGGAAAGAGAAAGTGGAAGTAACCATGCAGCAAATAAAAGGGAAGACAGTCCTTGATTATTCCTATTTCCTAATTGTTGTAGTCCTATGATGAAAAGAGTCAGGACCATTTCAGGAGTAAAGGTTAAGTATTAGCTTTAAAGGTGGGGTAGGTAAGTTTTAGAAACTGGCTCGAGATACACTTTTTGTTATATTCCATGGAATGCTCTTAACATCCCCATAGCAATGAATATCTTAAGTGCTTTGACAAAAAATCCATAAAAAAATGTCATCTGTGGAAGCTGTAGTACTGTAAAAAGCACGACCAATCATTTTAGCCGGCCCGGCAGATTTTTTCCGGCTGTGTATTTTCAAATTCTAGCGCACTCGAGCTGGTTTCTCCAAAATTACCTACCCCACCTTTAATTAGCCTTTGTTTATTATTGAATGATGTCTATCAACATTCTGATGTATATGTGTTAGTTTTCCTGAAACTGCACTGTATATTACTTTTCATATATTTTGCTAAATAAATGGGCTTGATTTTGTCTTTGGAAACCACTTTTCGTCCACTTTTAAAACTACAAGTGAAACACATTGAGCTTCTGCACCAGACCTTGTCCCCCAGACGGAGGTTGAAGCCGTCCAGCTCGATAAAGGCGAAGGTCTGGAGGGTGGTCTCCTGTTTGAGCTCCTCCTTCCTGCCCTCAGGTGAGAGGCGGGACCAGGCCACCACGTATCCCAGGGAGCTGTTGGAGCTGCTGCCAAAGCTGCACTTCAGGAACACCGACTTTCCTGTCACCTCTGAGACAACCACTGGTGCTGATGGAGTGGGAGGCTGCTTTGCTGATGGAGAAAGAACAAAGAGTAGGTGGATGAGTGGACCATATGTTTTAGTTTAAAGGGCCCACGTCATGCTTTTCCAGTTATTACCCGTCCTCTTGTGTGTTATGAAGGTTTTTATGCATGTAAACGGTCTGCAGAGTCAAAAACCTTCAAAGTACACCCTGTAGGGAGTAAAACTCTAACACAGAAAAGACCTCCCCAAAACGCCTCGTTGGAGATTTCTCATTTTCCATTGTTTTCTTCCTGGGTATCGTGACGTGCCCTTACAGGCAGGAGCTCCAACAAGCCGTTTAGGACAGAGAGTGAAACTCAGTGAATACACATACTATACAGAGATGCTGTATTAGAAACCAAGGTGATTTTGGAAAAATGCACAATTTAAATCTATTCTAGTATACCTCAACAATGGAATTATGATCAGTAGAAATGGCCCTTTAAATTATACATATGCACAGGTTTCTCTCACAACAGAGGTGGAAAAGGAAGCCAATACAGCCCTAATTAAGAAATCAAGGCCTATATACCGTACTGTACACATTGTATAGTAAATGTACGTACTCCTATGTCAAAGAAAGATCAAGGCTCCTTATAAAAGGGTATGTTCACACCCACAGGGTGCCTTTCCAACCTTACTACTGGTTTAGCATACAGTACGCATAAGGCCAAAAGTATGTGGACACCCTGTCTGTATACAGCCTATTCATGCAAGTTGGAGCTGTTTTACGTGGTTTAAGTTGACTTCTAATTGAGATTATACCTCATGGCAACTGAAAGGCTTTTTCCCTGTTTAAACACAACATTGTGCACTAAAGCCAGTTAAACAAAGTAATGTTTTTTGCAGAGATCCCTGACCTCAACACCATTCAGAGTCAGATATCTTGAGGAAGGTCTTCACAGAAGTGTGGAGGCTGTTTTAGCAACATGTTAATAGCCATGGTATGAGAGAACTTTGTCTACAGTATTTTGTTAATGTGTTTATGTATTTTTGAGTTATACAGTGTTGTTGACCCAGGTGTTACCCAGCAAACCTGTAAGTAGAGGACAATAGGAGCTGAGGAACATGAATTCATAAAAGTGAGCAGTTTTATACAAAACATATTCAGAAAGCGCTGCTGTCTGAATTTAAATCTAGAAAGAGAGCTATGAAATCATAGAAAACGGGGTTATTATGTATGAAACAAGTTATTGAATCTTATAACGTACAGTGACATTTCATTCATCTCTTGTTAAACCTCTCTTCTCCTTTCCACCTCTGCCAGCTTCCTAAAACCTGCCTTGGCGTAATTCACAACCTGTCTGAGGGCTGTCGCCATGGAGACAAGGCCCAGCGGACGCCGGGACACATGCTCAGCTCATTAAGAGGAGCGGTGAGGGGCCGCCAGTGCATTCCTGACCGCATGGCAACTCCCTGACCTCCTGATTGTTTTGGTGTTTGACCTAACACGAGGAGACAAGCGTAAGCCATAAACACAGCAGCAAGATTCTCACTTTTACATGTTCCATCAACGTTAACCTCGTCAGGGCCACAGCTCGGCGACGCTGTGGGTGAAGTGTCCGACATCTCTGTTAGATAAATAGGAAAGCAATAACACCATCAGTTACATGTATTAATCAACATTAATAACATAACAGATTAATCTTCTTTGAAGAGAGACTCTAGGATTGTATCTCTGCCCTCTCTCTGATATAATGGAACTAGATGAAAGTTGGTTTATGGAGCCCAAAGCACCAAGAAAATACATTTGAAAAACTTGACACCAATGTCTCTTTCCAAGAAATGATGACATTGTTACTCAAGATAATCCACAGACCTTGTTATGAGCAGTTCCATGTATTTTACAAACTTTTATCTTTATACCAAACTTAACATGACAAACCGTCTGACAGCACAGAAGTGTGTAAGGGTGCAAACATGAGAGGTTCATTCTTGAAACAGCTTGTAAACACTATTGCTCTAAGAGAAAATAATGAGAAAATAATAGACTATTTGTCCGGACATACCCTGAGCGCAGTATGCCATGCATCCCTGCGTCGGCTGCAGTAGGTAAACATAGAAGTCTCCACAGTTGCGCACGGTGACCGGGATGCGGAACATGCAGCAGTCTTTGCCGGTGCCTGGGAAAAGCTGCCAGGCAGCGCAGGCCGTCAGCTGCCTCACCTCCAGGGGCCCCGGCAGGGCCTCACCTTCAGCCAGGGACAGCCACACAGGAGCCTGAGTCCCACAGTGGTTCACCTGGATGTTCAGAAAGAGTTAGAGAGGAGAACATGGGGCATATTAATTAAAGCTTTTAGTGTTCTTAGAATAATAAGGACAAATGGAAAAGGTGTAGTCTTTGCATGTTGGACCAAAGGTGGTTATAATGTCACACATGTTCACAGCGATCCTCTCTCCCTCGCTTCACCCACTCCTGAGTCTATCCATCACCCAGGGTGAGCAGCGATGCCTGGGAAGGCAGAGGGAAGCTGACACTTTGGATGGATTTTGCAGGCTCATCACTAGGGATGGGTATCGTTAAGGTTTTAACGGTACTACTACTTTTATCGATACCGCTTATCGGTCCGGTCTTTTAACGGTACTCTTATCGGTTCTTTTGGAGAGAAAAATGAGGTAAACTAACTATATGTTGTATGTCAGGGACTACGGATGGAAATTAGCTCAAAGCTAAAATCCGGCATATTTACACTTGAAGCATTATTTGTCTAAAGTGTTCATTAATGTGCATTGTCCCTATTCAAATAAACGATTAAATGAAAATTAACAAATTGTGAACAAAACTAACATTGCTTTTTATTTAAATGAAATACATAATATTTCACATCAACAGAAACAACAACGTTTTAACAAATCATATTAAATAATCTGATGACAGAACTGGGAACAGAATGGCTGAAACTTTAACAAACTAAATAACTCAGTTCCCTGTAATCATTAACCCATGTTTGAATCATTGAGTTAGCTCCGTGTGTTGCTGCTAGCATACATAACACCTGACGTGGAAACGTTACTCGTGGATGGGGCTACAGAGCTACTAGAGAGACAGTCGAACCCGGTGCATTTCTCCGTCTGAACGTGGTGCACTTTTGCAAGATGTTTAGACAAATTGCTCGTGTTACCGCCCTGACATGCTAAACTCTTATTGCACTTTAGGCAACGAGCGAGACGGGTAAAGTTTAACCACACCTCGGAGCGCGTTCTCTCCGCCATCTCCTCCGTGTGTGTGTGTGTTGCTGCATGTAGCAGCTGCGTGTGTGTAAACTGCCCCGCCCCCTCGCACACAGGCGGGGGAGAGAGATCTCTCGTCTGGATTGGAGAGATCGAAAATACTAAAGATGACGCATTTTGCAGTCTTTTTGCGTATTAGAAACGGAGTTGGCGACACTAAAACTGCAATATAATGTTTGTGTAGCAATAATACACATGACATCTTTTTTAGATGTCTCCAGTACCGATAAAAAGACCGATAACGTCGGAGCTTAACGGTACCACGGTCTTTAATAATTCAGCCCCGGGGCCCGTTTAATACCGGGGCTCGGTACCCATCCCTACTCATCACAGCTGGACTCCCGCAGGATGAGACACATTCCAGCTCTCCTTGCACTGTCCTTCAAAAATGTGTACTCACAAACACACAAACATACATGTGTGTGTCCTCAAATGCATTTGTATTCATGCATGCAAACACGCACAAATACATTTTTGACACAAAGACTGAGGAGAGGACAGAGAGTTTCCACACATGAGATCACAGATTGGGAGTTAGAGATTCTGAAGTAATTGATGTTTGAATTAACAAAGCTAAATCAAACATTTGGAATATAACAGCCCTCGTTCACCACATGCTTCCCTAAAAAAGAGAACACCAAAATTATTGACTTGATTAAATCAAAATGCGGGGGTCATGAGAATTGTGTGACCTTTACTGAGGTCAAAGTTGGTTAAGAAAAAATTGGATTCCTGGAGTCTGACTTGCAATTGATTTAGTGCGATTTTACACAATGTGTCTGCAAAAGAAAGTCCCACAAATCAGAGCGAACTGAAAAATGTTGCCTATATTGTTTTGTCTTTGCAAGACAGAAAACCCTCTCTTTAAACCCATTTGTAAGGAAATGCTTTGCAGCTGGTCAACATAAAATATACCTTTTGTATGTCACAATCACCACATCTTCGCTGCAGATGATGAGCTAAAGCAGCTGAAGGGTTAGAGAGGTGAAATTGTAGATCAAAGTTTGACAGTTTGGAGTCCCTGACTAAGTATCTTAAGCCCAAGATTGATGAGGTGAAACTACAAACAAAGCAAAATTACTGCTGAAGTTTCAGTCCAGCAAATTGTGCAGATGTAGAAAACAGCTGAATACATGTCAAGAGATTTTTGGAAATTCACTGGTTCAGGGCTTTGAGAGTTAGATGAGAAGATCAATACCACTTTGATAGCTGTATGCTAAATATGATGCTAAAGCCAACTAAAGGTAAGATTAGCTTAGCATAAAGGCAGAACACAGCTTGTTTGGCTCTGTTCAATTTTCTTAAATCCACCTACCAGCCCAACATGTAGTTAGAGCTTTGCTGTTTCATTTGTATAATATAATACATGAATGAAAACCAAGGGATGTTTTACAGTGAATTAAACAGGAATCGGTGTATGTAAATAATTTACCTCCACACACTCCGTGGGCATGCTGGCCGGCTTATCAAAGATCTGAAACTGGTACCAGCCCGGAGAGAGGGAGTGGTCGCAGATGAACTCCTGCAGGGCCGACTGCTGCACCCAGCTGGAGCTGAAGGTGGTGCTGCGGTAGGGGTCCTGGAGGATGGAGTGGCCCCCGGACACACACTCTGGAGGAAGCTCTGCAAGTCCAGGTAGAGAGACAGAATACAGAAAGCACATGGTTGTACACAAATACTGGTAATACCAATATATTGTACCAATATATGTACAGCTTTCTACAGGACAAATAGTGAAGTGTGGAAACCCACTGCCCAGTTCCTCTGTGTTCAAGATACACATCTTGAATTGAAAAGCTTACACACAGACCATAAAATGCACTGACATGAGAAATGTGGAATGCATGATATTATCAGATCAGGTTATGGATACATTTACTGAAAAAGGGTAGAAAAATGTAGCAAATATGAAAAAGACCATCAAATATGTAACATTTATAGTTATAGTTAGTTTTATAGTTATAGGTTCAAACATGTCGTAAAAGCAAATGGCCATTAAGATGAAAGCAGAGAGGAAGACAAAGAGCTGAGCTGTAACTAAGAAGTACAGCGAGCTTCTGTGCACCGCAGCAACGTTTTCTGGCCCTGAGAGTTTAAGTGAAAGGTGATAGTCAGTCTGAGTCTGCCAGTGACAAGGCAAGGCAAGGCACTGAGAGAGACCACAGGGGCTGTCAAAGCTGCCGATAGACAGACTTCATTCTCAACACCTTGTTGCTTGAATTTGGAACCACTTATTGGCATTAAGTATATCAATATACATAACCTGTGAGTCTACTAATGGACGTCATAGACAGGTAAGGTATTGAGGTATTACAACTGCTGTCCACTGGTTTTAACTACAACATATAAATCCCCTCATCTTCTCTCTGCTCTTTAAACTATCATGATAACCAGAGCCTTAATAATATAATAACATAACCTTAAACAGCAGCACAAGGGAGCCAGCTGGTCATTCCCAGCAGGATGTGACTGCTGATGTTTAAGATATGGTTGCACATGAGTTGTAATATAAGGGGGAGAAGGCACTTTGTATTCATCAGGTTGTGGTAAAAATGTGCTGGAAACGTTCTAAAGCTTGTCATAGGAATGTTGCGAAAACTTGAACTTGTCAATTTGAGGTCAAATTAATTTAAATCAGGAGGGAAACTTTGTATTTGAATAATTCTAAAGTAATGTGTTTTACACAGAAAAATCAAATCAAAATGATAGACATCTTTTTCGAAGCTTTAATGGAGTGAAAGGAATTCCTAAAGGTTGAACTGAGAAGGGAAAGGTCAGCAGGTTAATGTCTCTGAAGCACACCGTTTAAGCACTTTGGGATAGAACAGCCAATAAAATAAAACCTGAACATCTTTGTCGAGGAACATGCCAAGGCAACCTCTGACATAACACAGTAGTTTTAGCTTGCCAGAGCGAAGAGACAGAAAAATATCCAAGCTGTGACCCAGAAATATCAGCCAACTTTTAATAAGTTGTGTTGCCTCAGAGATCAAGTTAATGGTGACTTTGACTGAGTCTGCCTCAGTGCTGAGTGACAGGCAGACAAGCCACTGAATGAGACCACAGGAGTTGTGAAGGCTGTCAATAGAGCGACCTCCTTCTCAACACCTGGTGGCCTCAGTCCTGATCAGCTGTACAGGAACTGTGAGAGTTCACATCCTGCCTACCTGTCAGTGAGTGGCGACCCTCTGTTTCCAATGACAGCACAATACCTTACACCGTGGCCATGAGACTTGGAGGTATGTGGCCTTGGATGACATGATGGATGAGAAGGTGTCAGCCTCTTTTTGGCAGATGGACACAACAAATCAAAGAGGAAGCTCAGTACTTTAAGCTCCTTGGTATACAGTAATTAAATCCGATTTGTAATCCCACTTTTGGTTTGCATTGTTTTAATTACCGAGGGAAACGGCAGAGAGTAGTTTAACAAATTGTATGTCCATAACATTTCTGGAAATAGTGATTGCGCAACTCCTTTACCGCGGTTTAAAACTAAATCTATGAATTACTTGGAGGTGGTCGCTTACCTGTTTGTGCGTGCATTGCGTTAGGAAGTAAAAACACAACCCACGTAAGAAGTTTGGAAACGATTTCAAGTCCCATCGTCATGATGCGATCAGCGCGCAATCTTCTAACCAAACAGCCCCAACCCTCCGAGCGCAGCCGATGTTATCCGGTCAGAAACAAGCGAAGCAGGAGGAACTCCGGGGGAACTTGAGGTTTGCTGAAGCCACTGTTGGTGGGAGTGATCGGAGAAGCTGTCGGCTGATCAGAGGCGCCGGGCTGCAGCATCACACTGCGTTAGGAGGGGCATCAGCCGCGTGCCCCGACATCCACACAGCTGCACACATCTGCCGCTGAGCAGCAAGGGTCACAGCACAATGAAGATGCAGCTCTTATTCTCAAAGATCACAGGGATATATTATATTCTGACTGCATTGCATTTGTATAACACTTTTAATAATGAGTGCTTTTTACCTATAGATATGCTTATATTGTATGATGCAGTACTATAATACTAAGCCACTCAATACAAAAAGTATCTCAGTCGGAAAAAAACAATACATAAATTGATGCGATTCAAAATGTGCTGTTGAATTCTGGATTCCCTGTAAAACGCTTTGACATAAAGTAAAAGCTTAAATATGACTAAGGACAGGATGTTCATTGAAAAAGGTGAAAGGTCAAAAAGCATGTACAGAAAAACGACATAACGACACAGCTCAAAGGTTCAATTATACTTTTATTATAATCAAAAGGGACAAACCAGGGTAAAGCATTAACTATTTAAACATTATGGACAACTTCCACACTCTCATCACTGGGCGCTCTGTTATTCAAAGCTTGTATAAAATCAATTATCTGCATCAACTTACAGTAAGCCTGTAAAATGATCTGCATGTTGCAATGTTTACTCAATTTCTAAAGAAGGGGAAAAGCAGACTGATGGTCCAATCATGGAGCTATATTTTATAAGTCAACACTCCAAACCACTTAAACAGATGGGCCACATGCTACATTTTTCAGGGAAACAGCTTCAGCCAACAAGTGGGATTTTGGATAAGCCAGATATCACAGTCGGGTTCTTTCCAAACAGCTCGTTTCCCTTCTCACGGTTTTACTCATCCAGGCTACTCACATATAGAGTTTCACTGGCAGTACCAGAGAAGCTGGAGCGGATCGTCCTGTTGAAAACTATTGAATAAGAGCAGCAGAATAAGCCAGGAATAAGGTGTACAATGGGTTATTTGGGTCAGTTATGCTAATATAAAAGCTAAAACGATTGATGAGATGCAGTCTTCAAATCACTGTGAGAATACAGTCAAATATAAACAGCTATCCAGATGTTGTCTCAAATATGTTCACAGAGCAATTTAGGGCTACTATTAAACATTTGATTTGCTTATTATTATCTTGATTAAGTGGTTACTCATTTCGCTTTTTAAATTGAGATAATAATAAAAATATGCCCACCAACATTTCCCAGAGCCAAAGATGGGGAAAGAATATATTTTGTATTCATAGGTCGGTACCACCACCATCATTTTGCCTGTAAAGAGAGTGAAATTATTAAACATTTATCAAGATATTAAAATAGGTAGCTTGTTCAAACCGAGAAACTAACTCTAAAGTATAGAGAACAATTCTGCTGAAGTGAAACCTTTCTTTAAAACCTAGACTGGTGATTTTTGACAATAATAAGCAGGAGGAATATTTAAGTGAACTGTTGAGTTTCAATAAAGTCAGTAAGACAATAATTTGTGATTAACGATGACTAACCCTTCGGACAGTCCTTCCTGCTGGTCTGCAGAGGACCAGTGGTAAGCTGACAGCTGTGCAGGTCGTAGACAGTCTTCTCTCAACGTGGAGGTGCCTGAATGTCTTGGTGAGACGCTCGTCTGTCGGACTCCCACACGAGGAGAGATATAACCCCTCCCTCGTAAATCTCCTGGACCATCAACCTGCTCAGAGCCTGGAATAGCCATCAGGTAGAAACCCAATTTCTTCCCGTCTGCTCATGCATCCTCTTACACAACCGGCAATTCAATTTCCCATATGGAAAACATCTATGTCAAGTGACCATATAAACAGTACATGGCATGAATGACTTTGTAGCTTTCAAGTTACATCCAGGGAGCAAAGAAAAGTGGTAACTAAATGGGGATAATTGGCTTGTTTGATTCTATAATCTACACATGAGCTCATTTTGTGCAATTTTCTCTCATTATAATCAGTTATGCGTCGTGGGAGTAATGGCAGCACTGCAGTGTCCCCTGGGAAATGTGATATCAGCTAAATGATGCAGGAAATGCAAACTCTATGCAATTACCCTAACCTCCACTACTGACAAGACAACTGTTTGTACAACTTGAAAGTGCATAAGGAGCAGAAAAGCACAAGAACATTATTTAAGTACAGATCAGCCCTAAAACCCCGGTCCAAAACTAAATGCCAGATATGTATCTCAACATGTACACACTTTACCAATTTGACCTTTTTGTCTTCCTCACTGTTGTTTCTCGCTCCATCATCTGCATGTAAAAATAAGAATAACGTGTTAAAAGGATGAATTCAGCACAGGTCTAAATCAGCACTGTTTTCAGTTAAAGGTAAATGTGCTTTTTGTTTTGGGTTAAGGCTCTGTGCGGCGGTAGGCTAGGCTACTACCTTTGTTGAGTCCCTGTGGAGAAGATTTGGACGTCTACATGTAATCATTCCTATGCTCGTGTCTTGGCCAACGCACGCCTGATGTTATGGCATCAAACAGGGTGGAAAACGTGCTGAAAGTGCCATTAAAGGCTCATGTAAATCATTCATGGTGTATGATGGAGAAAATGTAAGCTCTTCATTATTTGGACTTGGGTTCAAACTTCTCCAAACATGTAACTCCTAGGGGCAAATAATGAAAGAAACTAGTAACAAGTAACAGTACCTCAGAATTGTGCAGTATTTAAAAAAACATATACAGTATGTACTTAATTATACTTTCCACCTGTGAAGAGCAAATCAGACGTAAGAACTGCTCAGTGTGGGATTGTTTTGTACCCGCGAGAAGGAGCTGCTTTGTGTTTAGATACTTTAGAGGACAAGTGTGACCTGAGAGCAGCTGGGTCATGACACAAGCTATTCCTGCTTTTATCACCGACATGCAGCCTCCAGACTCCCTCCACATACCCCGGCCCAGACCATGTAGTACACTCCATGATGCAATAACACATCCCTTAATCCTACTAGAGTCAGACACAACTGTCAATACAAACAAACTGTTATTGGATTGTTGCCACACTCTGATTAGTACACCAAAATATATCATCTTTTCAAAGCCTATTGTTCCCAATTTAAACTTGAGAGGGAAGTGAGGACAGCAAAGAAAGCTATCATGTGAAACCAAAACTGTTTTCGTGATTGAAAAAATATGTTTTCAGTGCCTTTAAATTCTGTCAAAAGTGCTATTTTCACCAAATTGAACTACATCTAAATCCTAACCAAAACTAGACATACAGTATAATGACTTCTGCTATGGTTATTTTGCAAGATTTTGTTATGGTTTTGAAAAAAACATCCCTGATCTGAAAATAAATCAGTAAAAGCTGAAGCGGATGAAGAGGAAAAAATAGAAGAAAAGGAAAATTCTTCATCATTAAATGACACGTGAAAATTAAAAACGCATGTGATTTATCAACTTTTATGATATTTCCTGGTTTATCACATTTCGTTGATTTACAGTATACCTTCTTCTCTGCCTGACCCGAAATGAAAGCAAACATGAAAGGGAAAAGGAGCCTCTGATCTGAGGAAATGGGCAGTGATGGTAGAAAGAGAAAATCCTCTCTTGCCTCAGTGACAGTGCTCAACAACAGTAAAAACAGATGGAGGTCCTGACACAACATTATAGAGAAGCAGGAAGATGGTTTCCTCAGCACAGTCGTGCATAATCTGTTTCAGCTTGTTTCTCATTTATTCAGCAGTTACATAACCATCATTTAAAAAGCTTCTGTGTGTCACAGCATGATTTATCTTGTTCCTTTTTCTCCAACAACAATGCAATTAGGCTCCATCAAGTTGTCATAGCGACATGATGGAGACGTCTTTGAAGCCACTCAGCCTGTCACGTCTGACAAAAGGCTCCTGTAATTGTTACAGCCGAGGCCTGACTGCAGTGGCTGTAAATGTCACTGGATACAATGGTAGGAGATTTTCAGACACAGAGCTGAGGGGCCGGGGGTCGAGAGGAGCCCCTGAAGGTGGCAGCTCCTGGTTTAACAGGGCTGGAGGGGTCAGCTCCTTCACAGGCGCTGTTTGCTCTCAGCTCAGGTTTCCTGTTGCCTTTGCCCCCGTGTGTCAGCTGTCAGAGTCGATACACAAAGGGACTGCTGCAACAACTGTCTGGGAAAACTCTGCTTCGTACAGAACCGTGTTTACATGAGGGGAGCTGCTCTGCTCACTGTCTGTCTGGCTCTGGTGAAACACAGACCTCTGATGTAACCGTTTTTTCTTCCATAATCATAATCATAACACTTTTGGACCAATACAGGAGCTAAGACCAAGTTTACAATGACTCCTCAAGGGAAATATGTTGCCTTAAAATGATTTAAAAAAAGCTAAAAGCAGCTTAAACTTTGTACTTTAGGTATAGAGCAATCAAAAACTTGCATTAAAATATTTGTACTACATACAGTATAACGTTATTTTTGTGTAATAATTCCAAACTTATCCACAACTATAGACTACTATTGCTGATGCTGATTTATCTTTCTATTTTACTTGCCTCGTCCATTTTTCTGTGACCTTCATTTAAAGAAGTATTTATTTATTGTGTCCAATTGGAGGCCGATAAACAACTCAAAAGGATGCTGATGAGAGCACTGAGAGGAAATCAAAACATCATGTTACAGACTGAGAAACACCAAAACAATTTGCTGAAAAAATGATCAAGACATAGATTAGATTTGATAGGTTATTGCTGATTTTGGGAGACAATACTTCCCCATCAAAGGTATTCATTAATTTGAACTATTGTTAATCTACAAATATTGTTGAATACAGCTTTAAACTTGATGAAAATGTTAAAAACACAGCTGTTTGATAAAGATCACAGTGATGTATACATAACGGGATAATAATCATAATTTATAGCATCCAGAGAAATGTAAAGAAGAGGCATGTCTAACATATTTTAAATCCATCATAGAAGGTAAGGCTGCTTCAACAAAGGACCATGTCAAAGAAAAAAGGTGAAAAAGTTAGATATATAGTGCGTAATGTTTTACTGTATATTTTGTTTGGCTATTTATGAGGCAATACAAGCTAAGCTCCTTTCCAGACTTTGTCCCTGTCCTTTGTTGAGGTTCAGTCAGTAGAAATGTAATTATAGACATCAGCGTTCTGCTCCCTGAGTCTGGAAGAAGCATCATCTCTACACGCCAAGTCCTGGCCCGCCGCTGCTCTTTGCAAACTGTAAGCACTTATGATGTTGGTAAAGTTAACAAGGGCCGTTTATCTCAAACAATTATCTCATTAATTCTATCCTAGTTTACAGTGCTTTACATTCTCTGCCTCAGTCGGAATTTTACAACGACAGTTTAGAAAAGGACAATACTAACAGGAGTGAAGTCTGCTTCTATGAAAATAATTCAAGGTAGCTCTTTATACTATCAACGCATGAGTTTTACTCTGACTGCAACCAAATGAAGGAAATGCTGCCATCTAATGGAACGATCCCAAAATGGCAAATGAATACACACTTTTTTCTGTGGGCACCTAGATAATGAATGTACTTCAGTACAGTTTGAGGTACTTCTATAGATTTTATATTTGTTTATCTTGACTCGTTTGTCTGTTTGTTTTAATTGATTTAATTGTATGTATATTCACATTGCCCTTATACTCTCTCTTTTCTCAATATCTTTCCTTGTCTTGCTTTGTTTTTAAAAACGATTTAAGTCTCTTTTTATATTGTCCTGCATTTGTTTAAATAATTGTCTTAATGTGTAAAAGTGAAACTAAATTTAAAGATTTATTTTGTCAAGCCTGAAAGAACGATTATAAATACAGAAGATGGCATGATTTCTTCTATTCGGAAGGCCTTTGTTTGGACAGCTGCTAAGTTCCTGTTTTTGTTTTATTGTCCCACTGAGCTCAGCCCACTTTTTGTAAAGAAGACTAAGGACACTCGTTACCAAGCAGCACTTTTTATATGTTGTGCCTGTAATCAACCCTTGTACCACTGTCTGCTCCTTTCACTGTGTTCCTGACATCCTAACAATACAAGCTCAAACTGGATTCAAACTAAGACAAATCAGGGGATATCTGTCGCGAATTCAAGGTAAGCAAATACCTTTGTCAATCAACAATCATGGCTCCATACAGTTTATTGCATCCGATGTCCAAAGTGTGCTTTGAAGAAAAAACGGAATTCTCTGCAACTCAGCATCTCTCTTATGCAAGGAGCAAATGGTTTCAACTCCCCGAGACTGAGAGCCACAGCGACGTGTGGAGCATCAAACCACCAGATTTCTCTCTTAAACTGTACAGGTCTCTGTCAGTTCCTCAGAAGGAAGAACGAAAGAAACATTCAGATCCGATACCACCTTCAAGTAAAGCACAGAGGAAAACTGGAACATTTCTACCAAGGGTTTTACATGAGGGTTTCCGAAGAGAAGAGTCTCTAAAGTTCGTCACATCATACAGGCCTCCCGATTCTCTTGAGTCCGAGCTGATGTTTGTCAAGACTGGGAAGTACCTTTGTGGGCCTTACAAGAACCCAAAACCACATAACTTCAGACCGGTAAGTGTCTGCAAACAATAATACGTTGTATAACTTCTTCTGTATGTTTCTTGTGTACATTTAAATGCTCATATTTGTGAGGAACACATAAGATGAATCGAAAAAAGCAGGCAGGGTCATTTTATTTTTTTATTTAGCCTTTATTTATACAGGTGTAAAATCTCATTCAGACACAAGGTCTCATTTTCAAGAGAGACCTGTCAGTGGTAACACTACCACACAAAGTTACAGACAGACAGGACACTAAACACAGAGGCAACACTAAAAAGTCATACTCTTACTTTTGAGAATACAGCATTTGTAGTGTTTGATTTGTCCACAAGATGGCGCTAAACACAAAAGTAAGTAAATAAAACAACTTTGATTTCAGCTCAATGAGGACCTTCCAGACATAGTTACTACATACGAAAGAGATCCTGGTAACCTGCATTTAAAGTTGAAGCACTTGGACATTAGTAAGTGGATTAACTTCATGTTTTGTCATTTTTTGAGTGTATTTCCGATCAATCTAAGTCTAAGAATATGGTATTCTGAATGTTTCCATGTGTGCTGTACTGAATGAATGAATATATTACATTTTTCCAGTTCAAAACACTACCACCAGGTCAGACCTAACTTCAAGTGATACCGAGAAAGGGATGGACACATATAGAGCTGCCGAGCCAAGATGGGATGCGAGGCTCATACTCCCTCCACTGCTCTGGCCTCCAAAATCAGCTTCCTATACTGTCAGTGGTGTTTTGGCATCATACTATACTATGTCAAATTGTGTCAGTTAGTTGGTTTTCTTGTAATGGATTACTCTTATAGTGTGGTATATCAAATAAAATAAAAGCTCTACTTACAGTACATTTAATCTACTAATTACTCCTACCAAAAAAACATGTGGTATCTGGTGCTTAATGTAGAAAGCGGAAACACACCCTGTTAATTTAGATCTCCTGACTGAAGCTGCCTGTTATATTGTAATATAATTGTAATATTTATTATTAACTGCAATGTAGACAGTTTGGGGCTTCACCTGTTTTAATACTGACGTTGAATATTTGTTTCACAGAGACACAGATGCAGAAGAGGAGCGTACAGTGCATTCTTGGACCGTGTGGAAGAGAAACTCTCAAGATCATGGAAAAATAGATCCTAACTTTGTCTTTTTTAATTATTTAAAAATCAAATATATATGTACATATCCCTGATAATGATCAAATAGGGACATATTTGGAGATTCTAGTAGCTTTAAGGTTCTGGCGGTCAACATGCAGGGTCATAAAGGTCATACAACCACATTAAGACGCCCACTGACCACGGACAGCTGCTCACCCGGTTCCCCAAGAATTATAAACACGCCAAGCCTGCACATGTTTCGAAGCATATCTGAAATAGCTGAACATATGCGTTCAAGGAGTAATCCGTGACTCTGGGCATAACTCGCAGACTAAATATAAAATGAAAAGAATATCAGTCACTGCATTAAACCTCATGACCCACACGCTGCCATGTGTTTGTGTTATTTTAATCCCCTGTTATCCTGTCAAATGCTGAAAAATGTAATGTAATCTTCCATCTCATGCATGGCAAATAAAGATACTTACCAGAGCTGTTGTGTTCAAACATGTCTTGGCAGTTGTGAACAATCTTTAAAAGGGAAAACACAGATAGTAAAGTTAAGAAAAATCCTTGAAAAACAATAAACTTAATCCGAGTCTGTTAAATCCTCTTATAAAGTAAGCTTCAGGAAATTAGTACTTATCTACTTAAGAAAAAGCAAACAAAACAATGTAATAAACTCTAAACAAAATCTGAAAGGTTTCAGCTCTTACTTGTTATTTTCCATTATATGTAAGATTTTAAGAGTGACTTACAATTGGCAATTTTGAACATGTTTAATTAGCTTAGAAACAAAAAAAAGAGCGATTTGATAGCTTATCCACAAGCATGCCGTAATGAATGCATTAATTAATCAATAATTCAAATAATAAATAATACTCATTATACTTGGACATTCTGAATAATAAGTACATTAATAATTAATTAATTAATAAGTACAATAATAATACATTCTGAATAATAAGTCGTGTTTTGTACTCTAATATATTTTAGTGCTAATACTTTTTTAAATGTATGAATTTAACTTGTTTGTATGTCTACACTGTGGTATTCCGACTATTAAAAGAGTACTTCTTCCACAGCAGGACCTTCTTGTTAAAGTACTTATTTCTGCGTGAAAATAAACAATTTGCGACAAAGGCTACACAAGAGCTTAAAAACAGAGACAGGTTATGTAAGCCTCTGGTGTTTGTTATCCATTCCTTCATGCATGATGGGTCGTAGTAGCGTGGTGCTTTTCCTGCTTTTCTGACCAATCATTTTAAACAAAAACACGCATGGGCGGCGCTGTTTCTGCACACACATACACACACACACACACACACACACACACACACACACACACACACACACACACACACACACTGTATACACACTGCACTCTCTCTCTACACAAAAACGGACAGAAAAGGGAAAACACGCTGACTCGACACGCTGAACCTACGGTACGTTTACGTTTTAATTTTAACGGCTATTCTGGTGCGGCTATTAAGATAGCTTATCCACTAGCATACCGTGGTGTTTCTCTGCTAGTTGAATGTCCGTGTGTGGTTGAATGTGGGCTAGAAATACCGTGAATGATGTGAAGGATCAAGCTTGTAGAATGGCTGGTATTTAGAAGTGTTTTTAGGGCTCTTGGACGACATCTTTTGTCAAATCACCTGTATTGGACATTTGGTTATACAATGCATTACTGATCAACGTAAAAAGTGCCTTTTTATAGCATTGGCATTCACAACTTTTAAATGAAATGTACCTTTGTTGCCTCTCCAGTCGTTTTTAACAAAGAACATCGATTTAAAAAATATTGGGTTCCCTTACCACATTTATCTTGGATCAATAACGATACATTATTAATGTCAAAAGTAAAGTAGTGTGACGGACAGACAGCGCAACAGGTGATCCTAGTTCCCGGGCTAGACATGTGATTGACAGCCGTTTTAGCCAATCACCTGTCGGAGAATCTAGTAAACGCACCAATAGAAAGCACCCGCAGTGTTCGTGTGGGCGTTTATCCAGACTGACAGCAGTGTCATCAGCGTTGGATTCACACTGGGACACAGAGGACAGACAGGGAGGGTTGTGTCCGCTTCAGAGGAAGGATTTGCTGTCGTTGTGGCCGACATACAAGGCGTAAATATACTGTGAGTTGAATTTTGGTGTGTTTACACGATAAAGGACTGCGTTTCTGTTCAGAAAGTATTAGGTGTATTGTGTTTTCTCTACAGATGGCTCAGATTGAGAGGTAGCACATTTTGAAAATGTACATTGAAATGCCTTTGCTCACCTGTCGTGTGAATCCTCTGTAGATGTACTCTTACCTCATATGGGTAAAATACAGATTGACTGGAAAATAAGCCCTATTTTAAAATATAATGAGGGATGTAGTTGTATACTAAAAGGACAGTAACACACTGCAACACTAGCAAACAGGGCTCCTGTAGGAATGTTACATTGAATATAAGGAAGTTAGTTTCGATTTATGGTGGCTGTTAACTCCTCATTGTGTGAAATTAAGTAAATGTCGTTTTCTGCCATGGTACATTGGCTAATTACAGCTGTGTAACATATAGTATGACTTTGTGTTATCAATCAGACTATATTGCTTATTGCTCAAAAGTCTTTCCTTGTCATTGAGGATGTTAGGTGACGCACAACTGTGGATTGTGGACTTGAACTGAGTGACATGGAAAATGAATATGCCCATTTGTTTTGGTCCTCATATGTATAAATACCCCTTTCTCAAAGCAAAAACAAGAAAACTGCGGGTGAAATCTGATTGAACGTCACCAGATTTCAAATGTTATCATGTTCATAAAAAAGCTATTACTGTCATGATGATTTAATGCTCATTTTGCTTTGCAAGTAATAGAGACTCTATCAAGTTATTCACAGGGATTTGAGCCATTGATTATTTAAAAAATCTCCCTTTACACTAATGCTGCTACAGCCCTACTTGATCTAGTATTAACATAATTTGATGGTGGCTTATGTTTGCAAAGTTTAGATAGATGTTGTTTTGTAACTTTCATTACTAAGTTTGTTGACTTTATGACTCTTCTCTTACGTGTGGTCATGTTTACCCAATGACAAAGCAAAAGACACAAGTGAATGTAGGGAAATGTGATCTTCCATTATCCTGTAATTGCAACTGTTGGCCACAGTCAAAGTAACATAGTCTTGCTTTAATTGCTACTGCTTCTGTTTCACCCACAATAACACTTGCAGTTTGCTTTCAGGTAATTGCTGGAGCCTTTTTGGAATATCAGCAGCTCTGAGGATTTTTGCTGGACTGGAATAGGATCAAATCTCCCAAACCACCAATCCTCCCTCATGAGGAAAGATGGGGAATGGATTGTCTGAACAACCTAGCTTCGTCTCAAACGTCTCATTCTTCCAGTCGTTTCACATCGCCATCCTTGGCCTGGACTCTGCAGGCAAGACCACCGTTCTGTACAGACTGCAGTTCAATGAGTTTGTGAACACGGTGCCCACCAAAGGTTTTAATGCGGAGAAGGTGAGAGTGTCTCTGGGCGGCCACAGGTCTGTAACGTTCCACTTCTGGGATGTAGGTGGCCAGGAGAAGCTACGCCCCCTGTGGAAGTCGTACACGCGATGCACGGACGGCATCATATTCGTGGTGGACTCTGTAGATGCGGAGCGCATGGAGGAGGCCAAAACGGAGCTCCATAAAATCGCCAAGACCTCTGAAAACCAGGGGGTGCCCCTGCTGGTGGTAGCCAACAAACAGGACTTGAGACACTCTTTGGGACTTGCTGAAATTGAGAAATTACTGGCTCTGAAAGAACTGGGCCCTGCAACTCCCTGGCACCTGCAGCCAACCTGCGCTATCATAGGCGATGGACTAAAGGAGGGCTTGGATAGACTCTATGACATGATCCTTAAAAGGAGAAAGGTGCAGCGGCAGCAGAGGAAAAAGAGATAGACTTGTTCTGAAAGACAAACATGTGAAAGACTCGACTGTTCTTATATGTGAAGGATATTGTCCTGGGTGGATAGAGGCATCCGCTGCAGGTCCTGATTCAAAGTGCTGAGTTTTATCAGTGAAGAACAGAGATTTATGACTCCTGGTCTTGGTCTTGTGATGATGCTGTTGGTCAGAAAGTGACACTTAAAGGAATATAGTATGAAGATGAGAAAGTTTCAGACATGTGTGGATATGATATACAAGGTTTATATGGATTTAAACGCACTAAGGGTTCGGGGTCTGGAAGGGTGATAGAAGTAAAGGATGCTGTATGTTTCAGAAATGGCTGTTCCAAATAATATCACCAAAACTACTTTGGGAAAAGGCTTTGACAAGTTGAAGGGTTATTTGGTAAATATTGAAAAGTGTTTTATTTCACTGTTTAATATGTAATTATTATATCTTATTATTCTTACACTGGACTTTCTTTGTGAAAGAAAAGTATTATCGTGCACTATTGCATTATTATCGACTTGCTTGCTGTCTTATATCATTTTTTTATAAGCACTTTAGATTTCTACTTCATATGAAGTTTACAGTTTTTAAATACAGCATATTGTGTTTGATTCAACAGCAATGTTTGGGGAAAAATACAGATGCTACTGTAGTTGGTCCAATTTGACCACATTGTCATTAGACAAGTTGTGCATTATGTTTTGCTTAATAAAGCATTTAGAGCAATGTGGCAGTATGGAGGGTGTTATTATGTCAACTTTGTTGTTTATGAGTTTAAAAAGGAGGTACTCAAAGATGTCAATGTGCCCTTTAAAAAAAGGCACTAAACCAGCAGTGTCCCCAGGGGAGCTGCTGTATAGCTAACATTAAACGTTGTGCTGTCACCCGTGTATGTAATGCAAAGGGTTACCGAGAAAAAAAACATGCTCAGTCAACCTATCCTTAAAATGTCCTCAGTTTCATTTTAAAGCAACATGCTCGCTCATGTTCACACAGATACACACCCACAACCTGAAGGTCCATGTAAATGATTTATGGCAGGTGTGAAGAGCAGTAGTGTCTGTAATGGAAACGTTGACATTCCTTTACCGTAGATTTATTTCTCACAAAAAATACACACTAAACTGGAACAATTTGCATATTGTGTAATGAGAAACATGTACGCATACAGATGTTACACTGCTGCTGTCAGCCATACAAATACTTAAAAATGACCCAAAGCTCTTCACCATCGGCTGCTGCAGTGTAAAGGGTTAAGCGATGTATTCATTCATCACAGACAGAATCAGGACTTGGAAATGTTGTCAGGGCGGTCTGAAGACCAGACCCAGTGCAACTGGCTGGGGCAGGACACTGTGAAGCCAGGGGCATTGCAGAGTATTTTTGGACTAAGCTGGGTGGATACGTAGCTCAGTGTTTTAACGCCATTTGCTCTCCCATTCCTTTGAAACAATTAATGACTGAAGCCCGACAGGCCCCTGCAGCAGCTGGCATTCAAAAAATAACTGTGATTCAGATTTGCACTGCTCACAGGCTGAATGGCCAAACATCCTCACCATATAAATATCTGTTCCAGTTAAATGTGATAATTATGGCCTTGATTTTAGGTGTTGGTGCTGTATCTCAGGGGGTCTATTGCATTTGAAAATAAAAAATACATATCCTTCGCACTCTTTTTCAAACATTGGTATGACTTTATAGGGTTACAACAGAATGTCATTTAAATCCATTGAATAATCTGAGTAATTTAAATCTCTTTTTGTGGCTTTTTACGCCTTAATCATACAGTTAAAAGCATTACAAAACATTTTTATTCTTGGATCTTTGAACTATAGTGTCGCTTCCCAGAATGCCCCTTTTCTCTCAAAAGTTTATGAATCATGTTTTTTTATGACAAAGGTGCCTCCTTAACTTGTTTTCGAAGGAAGGAAACTCAAAGGTCAAAGGCGCGTTCACACTTTTCCTGATACTATTTCCTTATCTCTAAAAGCCACGTCAGCCTTTAGTGTGTTTGTAAATCAATGAACATGTCCTGTCCTGCTTTGCCTTCTATTTACTTTAGGGCAATTATTTTTGATCTGCTGAAACACTCACCAGAGGATCACTGTTGGTTATTGGCTTGGTAAAGCAAAAAGCCTGTTACCTGTCTTTTGCTGACTCAGTTTAATATGTCTAAAACTACATACAGAGATTAAAACTAACAATTACTTTACCGGATCATTTAATAACTTTTCACTTTTCTTCAGTCCCATCCTTTATCTCAGCCTTATCCATGTTCTGGTAATGTCTTTAGTGAAAGGTGGATTAGGGGGAATAAATGTCGTGTCCAAGGTCAATGCATTAACCCATTTACCTCGGATTGGGTGCTTGGCACGAAAGTCTCCGACTGACAAGAAGTAAAAGCACACTGAAGTGTCTTCTTGGGCTTTACTTCTTTAGAGTAGCTCATCCATGAAGGAATTCTCTCTCATTTTTGCTATTATAGCATGCTGTACTGCAGATACGCCTAGGGCCTGATCGAGTTTGGCACTTAATTTTACAGGTTGGGCCGCACACAGCTGATGAATACTGTACCAAATGTTCAAAAATGTTTGTGTTTTGTGAAGAAGTGTGTGAAGCAATGACGTATTGGATGACGAGGAGTAGCTGCTGGTTCCAAGAAGATTTCCTACTCTGTAAATTCCACGTCAAAGTTTTTATTTTAATGACATCCTGTGTTCCTCAACATAGTCACACCCTGGAAACACTCAAAATAGAAAAGAGTTATGATGGACTCTCAAGTATACTTCTACATAATCTTGTCTTCATCCATTATAATTATTTAAACCCACCTTTTAAGGAAATGATATTGGCAGATGGCTGTACATTCTACATTACCCATGATATTTAGCCATTACTGCCTCAGCACTTTTAATAAGAGCAAATTCAGAAAGCTTTGTTTCAATTGAGGAAAAAACGCCACACAAATTCAACCAACATTGACCCATTCTGTAAACCTGGATTGGATTCTATCTCAAATGCTTCTTGGGAATTGGAGTTGACTTTTGGCTTGCAGATGTATAGGTACCTTTTGCTTCTCATCAAAATAGAAAATTACGAAACGAGTATTGCAAAATCATGTTTTGTATAAACATGTTTTGGTGATTCAACCGGGTGAACTTCATGTTCATACAAGCCTAGAAAGGGCTTCAACCACCAAGTACATAATATTGCCTTTTCAAATAAAGAAAATAATAACAGGAATGAAAACAAACAAATCCCACACATATAAGGTTGGGAACAGCCACTAATTGTGGAGTAGATGTTAATCAATGTGGATTGATGCATCTTCCTTAGCCTTACCAAAACAAGGCATTGAACAAGTTAATTCTCTTTATCTTGTAAAAAATAAATAAAATAAATTTTGTTCTGGCTAGTAAAGTTTAATGTGTCATTTTTAAGCATAAGTTAGCATATCTGATGAATCTTAGACGGTGGAGTCCAAGCTTAAGCTAAACTAAGCTTTTTTCATTGTGTTGTTTAAGATATTTAATTGAGTACTAAAAGCTGGATTTATCTGGAAAATTAGGATTGCATTAGGATACATTTAAATGGTCCATGCAAGGAAAAAGATTTAAATAAATGAGATGCATGCTCAGACACAAAGAAATTCTTTAAAAACCAAAATCTTTCTGTCTTTATGGAAATAGGCTAGTTTTGTTGTGATGCTGTTGCTTGGTAAGTTTTACATTTATACCATGAAGCTGTTTATCTGCATGGCCCGGTCAGAGCGATGTTTGTGGCAAAATGCACAACTTCACTTTCCCATAAATCCACCTCCAAAGGGTTCTCGTATTTTGCTGAGTTTAGAGATTCATCCCATTGTGTACTTAAAAAGAAGAAAGCAATAATATGCACAGTCCCAGCCTGCTTATTATGCAAGGTTATCACGATGGGATTCATTCTTTTCCCCCAGTCTATTGAGAGCGAGTGGCCTATTTACATGTGAATTCCTCCCGTAGCCCTGAAGCCTCGCTCAAAGTAGCAAACGGGGCCACCTGCAAGGGGAGAGGGGGGAAAAGGAGGAGGAGGAGGAGGGAGACGCTGTTTGAGGAGCTGGAGAAGTGCACTCCTGTTTTCTTTGGTGCAGAGAAGAGAAGCCGGTTTCATTAATCCTCAGGATCCATGGAGACAGAGAGTGAGCTGTGGCAACACGAACACAGGAAAAACAGACAGGGTTTTTTTTCTCACCTGAATACTGATCCTTAGCGCTGTGATGCCTGTAGGACTTTTTTCTCTTAGTGTTGCTCAATTTTATTTTCATGCCTAAAAATAAAAACTGAACAACATTTTCTCCGACAAGTACACCTAAAACTACTAAATGATCTGCGTTGCTTAATATGTTTCATACTGTAGGTCGTTATTCAGGTCCTTATTTAACTTTATCTCAATCTCAATCTCAATCTTTATTTATTTATATAGCACATTTAAAACAACCTTCAGTTGACCAAAGTGCTGTACAAGCAATAAATATTAAATAACACAATGGGAGTACAATAATAAAACAATAATTAAAAACATGATAAAAAGCACAATAACTAGAAAAATATTTAAAAAAAAAACACATACAAATGTAAAAATGTAATGTTCAACTAGTATTAAACTAGTTAAATTAAACTTTAGTCTTTTACTTAAAGGTAGGGTAGGTAAGTTTGAGAAACCGGCTCGAGATACACTTTTTGTTATATTCCATGGAATGCTCTTAACATCCCGATAGCAATGAATATCTTAAGTGCTTTGACAAAAAATCCATAACAAAATTTCATCTGTGGAAGCCGTAATACTGTAAAAAGCACGACCAATCATTTTAGCCGGCCCGGCTAAAATAACTGGATGGCCTACCTGCCTGTCAGCCTTCCATCTGTACACAAACTTATCTCGTGCCCTCATTGGTCATGTGCACGTTCGTGTGTGTTGGAGGAGGGGCTCCATAAGGAAGTGGCAGATTTTCTCCGGTTGTGTATTTTCAAATTCTAGCGCACTCGAGCCGGTTTCTCAAACTTACCTACCCTACCTTTAAGCTGTCTGAGAAGACTTTTGGGAAATTCAGTCATTTAATGTTTAATTTTGTTTTTTTTAATCTTTTACGTTTCTTTTCTCAATGTTTGGGATTTGAGTAGCAAAAGTCAGCACACAAATGTTCAACTTCATAGCCTTTTACTTGTACTCTGATACACTGAATGGAGAAAACAGGTTTGTGTCAAAAACAGGGTGAAAGGGGGTCATAAGAGGATATGTAATCTAATCAGCTATAACTGTGCAACACTAGCTGTAAGGCTATTTTGATAAATAATAATAATAAATATAGACACATTGCACTGAATTCTGATAAACTATCCCTTTGGCCTTCAAGCAAACACAAATGATCAGTTACTTTGATCATTTGCACAGATAAATGTAGTTTTATTACAATAATGCTACAAGACATCCCTTGTGTGCTGCAACATTGTTTTTCATCACGGATGGGGGACAGTGTTCATGGAGTGACATTCCTGGGCTCAGCCAGTGTGAAAGCTTCTTTGTTGAGGTGATGATTGCTCGGTCACCTCTCACTCTCTGTCTGCGTGCACAAAATTACGGGCAAATTACTTTTTCATTCTCTGTACCATTTTGACCTTGAACCTTGGGCCACACAGTTATACCCACTCAACATCCAAAACGCAACCATGTCCAGACAAAAAAAGTGGTCCACAAAGAGCCGTGTCCCCTCCAGACTGGGTATTGTGAAGCACAAGCCTGTGAAATCTGTCTTTGGTCTTGTTTGGGCATGAGGGATTATGGTGGGTTTAGGCTGCGGTCTCCAAAGCTTTATGTTCACACACTGACTGATGGGGAAATTCATGGCGAGCAGTGGGCCCAGTGGAGTTTCATCATTCAACAGATGAGAGGCCCCAGAATAGTTTAAAGATTTAGAATCCTAGAGTTCCTGAACGTGTCATTAAAAACAGAAAGGAATAACATAACACAGTTTGCTGGAATGACAGAAACTTCATTAACACAGTAACAACCTTTAGAAGAAATATTCAAATGTTTGAAGAGGAGTTAAGGAAGAAAAAAAAAGAAGAAGAAACACAAAATAATTTGGTTTTCCTCTAACAACAACTACACATTATCGGATATATTCTTTAAATGTAGTATCAATGTGTATTTGAAGGGGACAGTCTCTGTCTCTAAAACAACATTTTATGATAATCTGCAGTGGACATTTTTTGTGTAAAATGTTGTTGTGGAGATATCCAGCATAACACAACAGGAAAGAATGAAACAGAGAGGAATCAATAAAACACAAACACAGATATAGCTGATAAGTAATTATTATTTAGTTGTTGCAACAAACAAACAACAATGGGAAGTACATCACCTGCTGCCACAGCAGCCAATCGTGGAAATGCTCCCCAGAACAGAAGAAACACAGGCCTAGATATACTTTTCTAAATGACACACGAACATGTTCCCCAAACATGTTTAACGCACGCACATTTTATCATGCAGCCAACCACACAAATGTCACATGTTTTTCTCTCTGAAAGCTATACCTGTATATGTTTAAACGTCATCATCTCATGACATCCTTAGGATTAGTTAACTAACAAAGGTTAACTGTTTTTATAACCCGAGGCCTTCTCTGAAC